TCATGACGCCGGCGACGACGGGAGACAGGATGTCTCGCTCTTCAAACGGAGTAGGGTGGGGTCCGTTACAAGAGCAAGCCGTTCGTTTGTCGACCCGGGAGGATGATAGCGACCATTTTTCACTTCTTTGGTGAAAGATCCTGACGTTAAAAGCAGTGGCGTCAGCTGTCAGACCTGGATGGCGATACCTTTTCACGAGGTTGAGCGCTTCCCGTTTTTTTAACATGCACGCTGGCTTAGCGCCGTCATCGGGCTCTTCACCCAAGGCCACTGACTGGAGTGGAAACGCCTTGCTTGGGTTCTACACCGGAAAGATAGGTAGGTTTGGGACCGCTTTTGTCTCAAAGACAATCCACCGAGACAGGCTGATACCATTGGACGCTCATAAGGAGCTTGACAAGGTTGTCCGTATCCGAAGAGGAGATCAGCTTGGGATCTACCTTACCGGAAGTTACACCTTGGATTTCGTGAGCTGAAAAACGCCTTGTGCGACATGGCATATGAGCGGCGAGGACGAATACTACCAGAGAGACGGTATTGGCAGCCAGAATGAGAGATAACCTTACAGCTTACTCCAGGCAGATCCCGTCTCAGCTTTTGCACCAAGCTCGAAAATATCCGTTGGACATCCTGTGTTCAGATGAGTTTAGGCCCTTTTCTGTGATGGACACTTGATCATATTAGCTGTCTAGAACAACATATTGGGGAAATTTGAGGTGAAGTGATGGTGGTTTCGTCTCAAGTTTTTATTGGTCTCCGGGCTTACCTTCCCAGGCAGAGCACGACGCGCCTAATGGTCCTCCAATGGATTGTCAAGCCAATCTTTTGCCGATGACAATAACGGTCAATGTTGTTCTCTTTCTCTCCAGAAACAAACGGCGCCAGTACCAACAACACCAACAGAACATGAAGCACTAGAAGCAGAAGCATCAGAAGCAGCAACAGCGCCAGTGCCAGGAACAACAACAGAAGCACCAACACCAGCAGAAGCAGCGACACCGGGAGAAGCAGCAACACCAGAAGCAGCAACACCAGTACCAAGCACCAGTACCAGCAACACCAACAACAAAAGTAGCAGCGGAGGAAGCACCAGTGAGTCGGGGTGTTTCTTTTCTGTGCTCACAACCCCAGGGGCACCTGCCTGGTCCTCCACATCACCGCCGACTTGCTGAGTCTGGGTTTGGGCTCAGTACATGTTCGAAGTGACATACATATACGACAACCTCATCCGACAAACCGCAGCTGGTAGGTACAATAAGCCATCCAATCTCCCGCGGACGATTCCGCACACCTGCACATATACAGCAAGGACAACTGGCTGAACTGGCTGCTGGTTTCCGCCACCGTGACCCACAAGGAGCAGACTGTTTTCAGGTCCCCTTCTGTCGAGCCTAGAGTTAGGTAGGTAGGTTCGGCTTCTTCATCGACGCTGACTGGACGGAACCAGCATCCACACCAGCTTAAGTGGCTACTACTTTCACCAACCACACCTACAAGCCGTCTGATATGATGGTTTTAGGATCTATTGTGTGGCCCGAGGCAGCCGATTCCGCGCTGTATCGCTTGGGTGATGGCACGAACTGTTACCTGGCTCTGCCTGTCTCTGTCATCAGCAAGCTGAAGAAGATGGACCCCGCGGACATGGTTTTGTTTCATTTTTACACCCGTCTTGCTTTTTATATTCGGTTGTCTCAGGCACGGCAATTGCGAATCGCGATTGATGCTCATTTGATCTTGAAGCAGCACACGGGGCTCCGGAGACATCGGTACTCTATGGAGATATAGAGGTACGCTTGGGAAGGCGAAGGCAGAACAGAGGACCTACGAGGCGCCCTCTGCGATGTTGGCCGCATGGTATGGTCTTCGGTGAACATGTTGGAGGGATCTAAGGGCGTGGGAGTCGCCAGGCTGGCCATTTCCTCCCTACTTACCTACTATGTGTGTGTGTACGAAACGCTGCTGTCGCCGTGTCCAGGGGCAGCCAGGCTTCCGCATTGGCAAAGTGCCAAAGATTGGCGGCCATTCCAAGAGCGCACCAGGCATGCCACGACATTCTGTTGGATTGATTGCTGTGAATCGTTCTGCCAATTTCAATGTGGGAGGGAGCAGAGCTGCTCCAAGCACCACCTATGTCATAAACGGTGACATCTGTTTCGCAGAACAGTACCATACATACCTCGAATGGCGGGGGCGTTGTCCAGGTCTATGGTAAGCCTCCTTGTGCTGTGAACCTCTATGTACTTGGAGAAGCGCCAATATGCCTCTGGGAGCAGATCCCTTGCTGGGTCCGGCCGAGGTGGGCAGCTCGGCCACGGAGATCTTGTGTGGATAGGCGGAGCAAAAAGCTGATCGATCCTCGGCAGATCTGGCATCACGTTGTATGCCACGCCAGCCAGCACGGTACACCAGCCCAATTCGGCTTCCTTAAATGAGATCATGGTGAGATGGTGGCATGGTGGCGTCGAGACACTCCGGCCTCAATCAAAATGGCATAAGGGCGCTCCAGGCGGCGCTCTTCAGCCGGTACACGTCGAGATCGGGTACCTCTAGAGGTAGGTACCAAGGATCGAATTTCTTGAGGAGCGAAAGTTGCCGATGCCGCGTGGCCAATATAGAGGTACCTTTCGAGACTTGCCACAAAAGGGCTTTGGGCATTCTCAACGTCCCGTCGTCTCTGAGGCCTTTTCATTCGGTCCAGTCCTCAGTTGTTGCCAAGTTTGAACCCAACATCAAACCGGTAAGTAAGCTGGTGGCCTACCATAGAAGGCGGATTGATAGGTGCCTTACCTAGAGGTAGGCGACAAAAGACTTGATCGCAGCGATGTTGAGGGTTATCTCCCTTGAACAGGGCAGATCCAAGATGACTGGAGTCGCAAGTGCGTGTTCAAGGTGTTCCTGTTCCTGCTTTGTGTCAGTCGCTAAAGATGACAAGGTCATCTACACTATGTAAGCGGCGGCAAACTCCTGGTAAGGGTCTAATAGTGCCTGCGGTGCGGTCCATGAAGCGTTGAGCGTTGAGCGTATGCAGGTGAGTTCTTGTAACCCCATCATTGCCAGCCACGTTGGATCTGTTAAGGACCTTGTTTCGGGGGGGTCACCCCCATAGTAGCCTGAGCTCGAACCACTATGATATGCCTTTGTCAAGCTGAGCACATGAAGATCAAGGTCTGGTGCATCCGGAACAAGAACGGATCAAGAATCTGAACGGTGGTACCCAGCCTTCAACGAAGACGACCCGCTTAACTACGCTGAGCCACTATCACTACCCAACAACCTCCGTCGCCAGGCAGACACTTTGCGCGCGTCGCCTGCCCCTATCTAGGTATGATGAGAGGCTTCCTCCCGGTCAGGCGAGAAACAGCCCCAGGCCCATGATCTATGGGGACCTGGCCGTCCTGGCGCGACCAAGATATCGGTAGGGTACCCACGCCTCCACTCGGTTTCCGACTTTCCATCTTATCGCTTCCCCACAATTCACATCGAAGGACACGGCTGGGACAAGGTATCAATCCTCATCAGCAGAATCCAACCGATCATGTTCTGCAACAAGCGCCTTTCCAAGGTTGAAAAGAACCTCCAACTATTGAGCAATGGAGATGGAGATGGAGATGGAGGTGGGCACACCGGACTACTCGTCAGATCAGCTGATCATGTATCCAGTCTTGCAAAACATTGTCGTCCTCGCTCGCAGACATCGATCACAAGGCCACGCATGCAGGAGGCAGGGCTGGCATCGTTCGCCAACCTACCTACACTACGCTGCAGACTCGGGACTTGGCTCTCGCTTGGCCAAGCTCAACCCTAGACTCATCGTCACCCAGCGTAGGTACCTCTACCCAGCGTATTTAGGCGCAGAAAACTTGGTCTTTGGCTTCTGCTTAGCGGGGGTGAAAAGAGGATGGATGGTATCGGAGCCGTAGCCGGAGCCGGAGCCAAAGCCGGAGCTGGACCAGGGCCGGAAGGAGGACTGACGGCGATGGGTGGCGACGGAAAGAAGTAGTTGTACATGTAGTTTGAACCACTACCCTACGCTGGAATCGACACCTTGCTCTATCGGATACCTATCGGATGGCGTATCCCCAGTTCACTCCATTTCCGAAGCCAAACAGGGCCGCTGTTGAACTTGGTGGCTTCTCTTCGTTGGAGATGCCAAGTACCTTACCTGACTGACCTTGCGCAAAAGGCGGCTCCTAACTGGTGTCTACCTCTAGGAAAGTCTGGTGGTGGATGGTCTCGATGTTGTCGAATTCAGGTTTTGAGTGAACAAGCGTGGACGACCACACCGGAAAAGGGTCCGGGGTTCGTAGCTAGTGTCGTCGGAGTCGCGAGTGATGCTTGCGCCTGCGGTGGACTTCTTGTCATCGGTGAGAGCTACGATGCTGTGGCTTGGTGCAGGTTTCTCCGCAGAGGCAACAAGTTGCAATCCGACGAACATGGGATTGAAAGTACCTTAGATGCCGTTGAAAAAAAAGGGAGTGCGCGGTGACTTGGATTGTGGCTAGACAGTACTCTGTCCGGCACGTCTGGGCCTCCATGGTGAAGAAGAAAAGATGAGATCGAAGATCACGAAGGAGGGAAAAGGGAAAGGTTGGAAGTTGGGGAAAACGAACGAACATTGACCGGATTTGGAGAACCCTGATGGCCAGGCGGGTGGCTTATCGATAAGCACATAATTGTTAGCCTGGTTACACGTGACACCCTTGACCGTGACCACTCGTCTTTTCAGTTATCACGTAATTACAGACCCACCATCTCCTCTGAACAGCTGCGTCAAAATGACCTCTCATCCTTAGTCCACATGTTACATCTAGTATATTTACTGCAAGAGTGAAATGAACAAATGGCTGTCATCAATCCATAAAATGTTGAAACGCTACGCTATGCAACCCGTGCTCCTTGAACCATACAACAAACTCTCAACCGGCATGCCATGTGCGTATAGGCCCGAGACATCGCATGTATACGACCCTTCTTCCCTTGTTGTCTGTCGGTCAGAACCATCACCGCCCCGACCTCCCAATCCCAATCCCACTATCCTTCTCCGTCAACATCTCCGTCATCTCACTGCTCCCCGGACTAACCGGCGTCAAATCGATATCCGTCGGACTTCCACTTCGGTTGTTGTGCCAGTCATGATGACCTCCTGGCGAGATTTCCACACCCAGATCCACTCCCCTAGATGGCATAGGCATAGCCCCCGTCATGGCAGCCGGCGGTGGTCGTGAGACGGGTGCATCGTTGACAGTAACCACATAACCAGGGAACTGATTCTCCACAACCCTCGCCCGTGACCGTGGCGTGGCATGGCCCTGTTGCCTCCTCCCATGCCGTCCCGCAGCGCCGGCAGGGATCCGATACCTAGCCGGATCCCTCGGGTCAACCTCGTCCGCTTCGCGCACCGCATCCTTCCTCCTAACCTCCTTACACGCCAATATCGACAGCACAAAGTTGATCAATAACATCATAACCGTTATCACCAACAACGCAATTCCAAGCCGATACAACTGACCCCTCTTGCCCCTTAGTTCGCGACCGCCAGTGTGGTACTTGGTCGCCATCGCCTCGACGATGGGAGGAACATCGACGCCGTCGGGCTCAAGATCGAGATCGCGGTCGGATTCTTCGTCGGCGGTGGACACCCAGATGCCGACGTAGCCTATTGTTGCGATGCAGGCGAGGGAAATGCAGATATGCACGCCTACGTAGGCGCCGGGGTAGAAGGTGCGGAAACGGTCGCGGAGGCAGAAGAGGGTGGTGAAGTCGATGAGATGCCAGAGGAAGGTGGAGATTGCCTGGTAAGGGTTAGTATAAGAAGAACGGGAGGATATGGGGTAGGTGGGGAGGGAAGGCAAAAAGGGGTTGTGGAATGGGTAGGGGTACGAAGTGATGGGAGAGGAAGGGAGTGTTGATGAAAGGGGGTGATGACCAGAAGAGGAAAGAGATGCAGATCAGGGTTGGGGTTATACATGAGATGTGTGATGAGATGAACTGGTGGGTGTTGAAGAACACACCACCACCGTGTCCTAGCCCCAGTGTGACCCATGACGATGTACTGAGACAGGGGCAGCAGGACCGTAAACAAATGGCAAGGAGAAAAGAAGAAAAACATACCGTAATCCCCACAAACACAAAACTGACATGTGCAAAACCCCTATCCCCAAACTTCCCCACCATATAACCGACGACTCCCAAGATAGCGATCGCCAGTATTATTGACGAAATTCCCAGTATCGTCCGTGTCGTTAATAGCTTTTCTTTAAGTGACCATGTCCTCCCTGGCCTTGCTTTTCTTCCAGTCGTTGTTGTTGTCGTCTGTATCTGTTGGCTGTGGTGGTACTGTTGATCGAACCCATCTTCCACATCCGTATCCCTACTCCTGACCCTGTCCTGTGATATCCTGGTCTCCATTTCCCTTGGGATTGTCAATGTTGTTGATGTGGCGTTGATGTTGATGATGATGTGAAAAGAGCCGGGTCAATATCCCGGAGAATGTGTGGCGTATGATTGGTCAAAAGTGGCCGAGATGAAAGTGGACCCCGAGAGCGTAACGGTGCCGAACCAGATGAGGTAAGGAGGTCGTTCGGGACGGTGCCGTGCGGCGGCGGTCCTCACGGTAGTGCAAGGTCCAGGCCCCGTCCGACGTTCCGACGTCAATGTCGACACACGGGCAACCGACCGACTTCCGACGGAGCGATGCGAAGAGGTGGTTCGGTGCTAGTCCGACTGGTTGGTGTGATGATGCAGCCCGGTCCTGCTCTTTCCCTGTTCGATCCTCCAATGTTCAAATGCGCTGTTCCCTTGAAATGCCAATCGGGGTGTTGGTGACAGACTCCTCCAAATATTTGCGCGATTGACTCTTGTGCTGTTTACTGTTTGTCTTTGATCTTCTTGTCGTTGTGGTGTGTTGCCGCTTTGTCTGTTCAATAACCCAGTGCCGAAATGCAGTGTGCGCAACGCTTGAAGTTGATTGTCGTTATGTCGTTAAGGTATGTGTGATGTTGCGTGTGTGTAATCGTTGTATTGTATTGCAAGATGGGATGACAGACGGGGATGGGAATATATCGGATGAACGAAAGGGGGGTTCGGAGATCAACGATGTGCAATTCAAAGTAGTAGTGTAGAGTAGCGACTCAGATGACCCCGGTGAGGAAATGTCAAAGACAGAAATGGGAAAGATAGGAACGACGAAAGTTTAAAAAAGAAGCGGGAACAGCGCAAGTTCGCCTTTTTGAACCAGGAGTGCCAATGTTTCTTGCCAATGCTGCCACCGACCTTTTTTGCCATGGATTGCCATGGCTTTGCCAATGCCATGCCAAAAGCCCAAGACCCCCTCCCAAGAAATTGAATGGGAAAGAACAAACAACAACGAGCTTTTGGGCTGCTGCTTCCAAGACAGCAACAAAAAAAAAAAAAAGCAAACGAATCGACTCACTCACTGTGACAAGGAACCTAAGGCGCCCGGGGCCCGCCGCAAGAACGCCTGTCCGGACAGCAGGCAGGATGTATGTACCTGCTAAGTCTACCTAGGCTAGGCAGTATCAGAATACAGTACTGTACAGCTGCCCAGGAAACGCCCAGAGGCTCAAAGTTCAGTTGTTCACGCCGAATGAATGGCCCCAGCGAGACAACAGAGACAAAAACCCACCCACGAGGCCACAGGGAGCAGGGCTTTTTCTTTCTCCTCACCTTTTTTGGATCCTTTCAGTTGTTGTTGGCTTGGCTTTTTTCGGTGGAAATGACGACTTCCCAAGTTCCTCCCGCTGCCCCCCAATTCCCCCTACAAAATCCCCCCTTGAGCCCCTCTGTGTCCGCTCTGTTTCCGCTCTGTTTCCCTCCCCTTTGGCGGATCGCCCAAGGAGCTTGGCTCACCCTTGGCCGACCCTTGGCCCATCCTTGGCGGTGATCTTGGCGGGCTGCCAACCGTCAATCGAGCCTCCTTGGCGGTAACGGGTTGGCCTCTTGGCTCTGGCCTGGGCGTTGCTGGGATTTGCTGGGCATTTGCTGGGCACCCTTCAGATGATGATTGTTTCTCCGGTTTTGGGGGCCGTGATTCGTTTGAAGGATGTGGATAGGTTGAGGTGGGATGCCGATGCCGATGCGGTGCCTTTGAATAAAGTGGAAGGAGGGGAAAGGGTTTCTTCCTCACTGCAGTGATAAGATGGGTGCGGTGGCGGGTGATGATGATAGTCGTATTGAAGAGTAAGATGACAGATGCCAGGTCAACACCAAGAATTCGACAAGAAAAAACATCGTGAGTAAATCTGGGAAGTAACCATGGCCGTTTTACCTAATTATCTTTCTGGGCGACGACCCGACAGCCTGCTTTGCTGCTTTGCTGACTTGCTGCCCGCCGCTTCAGCCTTCGCCAAGTCTCTTTCTCCCTGCTTTGCTTCCGTCATGGATTTGTTTGGTTGTGGTAACACACGAACAAACCCAAGCCCTTGGCTTTTCCGTGTTGGCAGTTTGGCAGTTTGGCAGTTTGGCAGTTTGGCAGGAGACAGGCTGTCGGAAGGAATGATTTGTGTCACATTTTCGCGACAAAGGCGACGAGAAAAAAGAAATGATGATGCCAAGACAAAAAGGAAAAAAAGAAATGGCATCTTTCGGACACGGATTCGCAATGAACGGCATGTCACGGCATGACAGCACATGATTGTCTTGGGGGTGTCAGTTGAGAACGGGCAATCTCACTTTCGGGTTGAGAACCCCGAATTTGGCGGACTCGGCGGCTCTGGGCGGCTCTGGGCGCGCGGAAGCACGGCAACTACCTTAGTAGAGGGCGCTAAAATAGGGGTAGTAAACAGACCTTGAATTTTATCATGTTGCCGGTAAAAGCGAAAGGGAGACACAGGGGGATATAACACACGGTAACCTCTCGTGACTCTTCTGATCTTCATTCCCTCACGAGGCCTCTCACATGCTCAGCCATAATGTCTGATATGAGTCCCTACAGTAGCCAGTCTCGCCGTTGTGCTGCTCCTCGGATCGGAGTTGAAGACAATGCAGTGTTCACGGCATTGCGCTTGCTCACAGCTAAGACTCACCGGCAACCCAATCTTGACCAACCACATGTCATGCCATGGCTGCAAACTAGCTAGCCGTGATCTGGCTTCACCTCAGGCAGTTATCCTCTCCACTCGGCTGGAACCGGTATCGTCTCGACAGGCAAATCTCGTTCGGCGGGTATGGCTATCGTTTCTCTCATCACGTCGTCCGAGTTAATCAGGGCTCGGAAGAAGCGTTGGTTTGATTCTGAAGACTACCGTGGTGATGGCACCAGATGACTCCAGTCGCGACAGGATCTCGGTTCTGCAATCGCCGCCTTGTTGCCCATGACTGGGTCCTTCCATGGTCGTCTTCAACAGTTGATGTCTCTCTCGTTCTCGTCCTTTTGGATGTTGCGTGACTGCTCTTCGGTAGAGTGGCTGGCAAAGGGGAAACGTCTCGGGCCCGAAGGTACTCGCGAGGAGGGCGCTTGGTTTGAGGCCTGGCAAGTACATCGTGACCAGCCCAACATGCTTCGAGTCAACGATTGCGACGGGCAAGAACGCAGGGTTGTGATATGAGGAAGTTGCACACCAGAGTGCATGGCCAGAAAGAGAATGGGAAAGTGCAAGCGGAGAAGATGGCGGTCCAAAAACCGTACAAGAATGACGATACTGCACTAACACACCAACACTCTTAACCAAGAAAATCCAGATCGCCCTCTAATCTTGAGCATTTCAGCGCTTTACCCCTTCGGGCTGGCTGCCCTGCGTGCCCTGCCAGCGGCAGTTGTAATGCGGACAGTGATGCAAGCAAGGGAAGTGCTCAAGCGGCAGGCAACAATTGGCGCCAATTGTGTGCAATGGATCTCTGCATTCCTTTGTTGATCTGACCTCTCTTGCATCCGGCAACCGACCGACGACACTGGCGACGACTGGTTACAACTGAGATACAGTTACCCGGTCACGACAGGTTGTGCGGTACCAGCATCATCATCATCTTTACGATTTTATGCTTGATTGCTGCTTGCCACCCGACCATCCCGCCATCATCCATCAACAAGCACGCCCCCAACCAGGTTGTCTCTAGTGCGTAATTGTCTTTGTCAGACGACGGGAGAGAAGCCATCGACCACATCCAACCCATTCGTTTCCCTTCCATCGAGTCCAGCTTCTTCAGCTTTAACAACAACACTATTCTATCTTCCACTCGACATCATCATTTCCGAAAGAACATTGTCAAACTCGAGGCCATCAATCACCCAACCCCAGCATTACGCGACGCTGCCGATCCACTAGCGATCCCTCCTCCCGACGTCCATCTGTCACCGCCCAGACCAGCATCGCCGTCGAGCTTACTTCGTTATCTTATCGCTCAAGCCGTCATTACGCAATCTTCAATCCATCTTCGGAATACCCTACAGTTACAATCACAACAACCCACGACAATCACTTCGAGGCGTCTACGAGTATCGAGAACCACGATCGCGTTTTTTTGCTGATACCCCCGACATTACCGATACACAATGCGCCGACCGTCAGATAGCTTGACCGAGCCCGCTCGGAACCTCGAAGAATCCATCGGGCCCCCATCGCCAACTACACCCGACCCGAACACCGATCTTTCTCTCCCGCCTCCTGAAGAGCAGATAGTGAGCCACCAGGTTGACGGCGACGTTGATCCCGCTACCGTCACACCGCCCCCGCACATTGCCGCCCGCCTCTTCATCCAGCCCACGAACCAGACCCGCCGCAAGGATAGTGCAGCTTCGTCTCGTCGCAACAGCATCTCGTCCGCCCATTCCCGCTCTTCCCATGGCTGTGGTCGCGACATCGGTCCTCAGAGCAAATATGTCGCCCAACACTTGCGCCGCGCCTCTATCCTCGAGGACCGTAAGGCGCGACTGGCTGACCGCGCCGCCCATGCTGAGAAAGTTCGCATTCGAGCCGCCAAGGCTAAGGCTGCCGTCAAGGACATTACACAGAGCGAAGAGAGAGCCATTGCCGCCGCCATGGCCCGCGAGCGCAACCTAGCCGAAATCGCCGCTGCCTGTGCTGAAGAGGTCAAGAGGGCCAAACAGATTGCAGAGACGATGAAGGAGAAGCGCGAGCAGGAGAACAAGAAACTCAAGATTCAGATGGAGGAGCGTCTTGCCGAAGCCGAAAGGAGAAGGGAAGAACTTCGCAACCGCAACGCAGCCAAAGTTAAGTGCAGGGAGCGCGGTCAAAGCATTGTCACGAGAAAGCCCACTTTGGTCGAGGTTATGCCCGAGGTCAAGGAAGTCAAGGAGCGCGAGTCGAGTCCTATCAGGCCCGATGCTGCCGCCGGTAGGATCCAGTGGTGGTGGAAATCCATGAGTCGCAAACGCGCTGTAGCCGACTTCGCCGCGCTAGGCTTGACCATCGATGTGGTCAGGGAGACGTCGTTCGATACGGTTACCAGCTTGCTGTCACAGGAGAACGTCTTGGTGGCGACGTCTCGAGTTCTTCGGATCTGTGGGCTCAATGAGGGTGCGCCTGGGTCGGTGGAAGAGATGACGGCGGTCCGCTCTTTTCTGAGCGCATTCCTCATTCTCGGTCACCCATCCCAGGTGCTTAGCAATAAGGAGGGTACCGGAGAACCAGAGCAGGTTGGGTCCGCCCTGGCGAAACCAATCCCTCGTGATGATCTGGCTAACCCTCAGTTGCAGGAACTCGTTGGCAAAGCTGGTGACCTACTAATCTCGTTTGAGAACATTCTAGGGCGACTGACCGCGTTTAATAACTATACTCCGCCGCCAGCACTGTTGGAGTCGTTCCCTGAGGTGTACGCTACCTTCTACAATGCTTTCATTGCATGGAAGGCTCGCGACTCCAGCTCCCTGGTTGAGCTCATGGTCATGCAGTTCGTCGAGCTCGATGCCATCTGGGAGTCCGTCAAGGACAGCACAGACGGGTCCGTTGATCAGGTGTACCGGGAAAGCATCCGGGACAACCAGCTACTGCTGTTGGTCAGGATCAAAAAGCTCGCTGGGCCCACTCGTGGCAAGCAGCTGGTAACTGAAGCCGTCAGGGCGGCTCGCAAGGCTAGAGTCAAGAAGCCTCGCGGTGATATGAAGCCCCGTGTGGCAGACCAGTCAGAATCAGAGACAGCCATGGGCGTGCTCGGCGACGACAGCAACCAGGGTCAACAGACACAGACTCCCACGCCTCCGTCAACTCCCGCCAGGAAAGGCGAGACCTTCAAGATCAGCGTCGTACTACCACACACCAAGAGCCTCTTGCCAGAAAACAGGGTGGTTGTTCATGAGCTGGCCATCAACAGAGACTTCCGTACCGAGCCTAGCGAATACCACGAGCAACAAGCTCATCTGCTCGCACCCCTCTTCCAAGAGATGCGGGCAACGATGCAGGCAGACAACCAGGAAGTACACTTCATGTTGCTGCTACGCGTCGCCGATATGATCCGCGAAAAGCTCCAAAGGCTGGTTCGCCCCGGAAACCCCATGCACACGCTGATCGGCGAACTTCTTGACACGGAAATGGCGCAGCGTCAGTTTGCTATGGGCAGCTTCTCGTACGAGAAGCTGTTCCAAGCCATGGCGACACTTCTGCCCAAGCTCTGCGCCCCCGTCCGGGACGACGAAGTCAAGATCCTTGCTGAGGAGAAGCTTGTACAAGGCACGTATGTCGATCGTCTCGAGGCTTTGAACGCCTTCATCGATGTCATGCTGAGTGATTATGCCAACTACCTACTTCAACAAGCTGCACCGCAACTCATCGAGCAGGCGCCCTCTTACGAAGCCAAGGCCTTCGCCACCGACATCGAAGCCGGGCGCTACGATCTTTCTGCTGCGAAAGCCGCCTGGCGTAACGCCCGTGAGAAACTGATGGGTGAAGTTAGCCGCCGCGACCCTGAAGGCGTTGACATCCCTCGCTCTCGTCCGAACGGCAACAAGATCTATAACCAAATGCTTGTGGATCTCTTCACCCAACCCCATCCACCAAGCATCGACGAAATGCCCGAAATGCTGCGGCTCGACCACAAGCGCGTCGTAGAAGCAGGACGCGTTACCAAAAGGATCATCACCACAGGTGCCATCCTTCTCCAGTGCAAGAACCTACTGAAGCGCGACGTCCGTGGCCCCTGGCGCACCGAATCCCAACGTATCCTTGCCGTACTCGAGCGCAGCGAATCTTCTTCCGATCCAATCCCCTCTGAGCAAACAGTAGATGGCATCCTCACAGCCCTTGAGGCCGGACGCTCCATGCCCGCTGCCACCAAGGTTCACCTGCGTGCCTTTGTCACCAAGCTCGTCCTCTCGTCTGCTGCTATCACTGCCGAAAACCGTGAGCCTAGCGACCCTGTCCTTCGTCTTCTTCTCAGCAGGTTGCGGGCCTATGTCTCGCAAAGACTAGCTGCTAGTGCGTCGGCTTCGGAGAAGGTCAAGGCTACTAGCACCGCTGGAGAGAAGCTTGCGGGCTTGGGGCTGGCGGAGTTTGTGGATAAGGTGAGAGATCTGGTGGACATGCTTGGGAGAGTTGGGGATGTGGATAGAGGGGCACATGGCGGGTGGTGGGATCAGGTCGCTGAGGCGGTTGAGGCTGAGGGTCGGTAGGGGATGTTATGATGGTGTGAGTCCGGGGGAACGACCGGACAATGGGAGAATTAACTGCGGTGGTGGGATGGCCCGTGAGATCTGGAAGTGTGATTGCATATATACCACGGCGTTTCATGTTTTTTGTTTTCTTTTCTGTTTTTGTTGGTTTGGTTTGGGTACTTCATGCCGGCTGGTATGGTACCAGCAGCGGTTCTTTCATGTTATCCTTCTGGCGTTTGGGACTGCAACCGAGCTACAAGGCACTTGCGAGTAAGGGAATGGGTTCTTAGGGCATGGGATAGGTTTGCTCTTTTTTGTTGACAGTGTGGTTGTCATCTGTTCGCGATGAGTTTAAGCATCCATCGTCCTCTGCTCGTTGCTGATGTAGCGGGGACAAGCATCTACTGCTATCAGTATGCTTCCTTTATCTAGCGTCGCTGATAAAGCTCATATACAGCGGTTGCAATGAACAAACATGTTTCTTTGTTCTTCGGCGTTTAATATCTGGTGATGTGATGTGATGTGGTTTGGGTCTATGGGGTTGAGGTATGATATGGGGCTGTGAAGGGTTGACAAGAGCATTGCCGGCTTCAAATTGACACTCTAGTAACAGAAAAGAAACGGGAAGAGACAGCCATCAAGGGACCGCTCGATGAATCTTAAGAGGTACGTACTACTCCACGTTCTTCATGGGTATCTTTCCTGCTAACCACAAGTGTACGACGCAACTCTCAGATCAAGTTCCTGTTCCTCTCCAAGAACTCATCAACAGTCGTCAACTGTCCCAACAACCCCAATTCCCGGGTCGCAGCCACCCCATAACTCGAATCAAACTCATTTGCCCACCGCTGGCTAATCGCAATTGGATCCATGTCACTCACAGTCCGTCCTGTTGCCCAATCCTGCTCCTCTTCGTCGGTCCAAGTCGAAGGCTCATCCGCATACCAAACCCTCACCTCTTCACCCAACACCTTCCCCATCTTCTCCGCCAGCTCCCCAACGGTTATTGCTTCAACAGCCAAGTCCACACCCTTATTTCGCCACTTCTTCCTCTCCCCTTGTGTCTCATCATCAACAACACGCGTAGCTACCACGCCTACATCCTCCGCATCCACCCACGCTACCTTTGTGTTTCGTTTCCACTTGGTCCTGATTGTCCGGACTTCATCAGTGTCCTTCCATCCCAGATAGCTCCATCCAACCATCCGTTGAGTCAGCGAATGCAAAAACCATGCTGGTCTTACGATCGTCCAACTCTCAAACTCAGCTCCTTCCACCAGCTCTTCGATACTAGCTTTGGTGTTCCAGTACGAAGACATGGGGTGCCACTCCCCGTTTTTGCCCCAGCCGGGAAACTCCGCCCGTCTATCAACTCCCAGCGCTGTTGACGCAATCATCTTCGTCACACTACCGCAGTGTGCGGCGGCGGAGATGACATTTTGAGACCAGACCAAGTCTCGGCGGAAATCGTCTGTCAAAACGGGTGGGAAGAAAACAGTGGTGGGTTGGAAGATTTCGAAAGCTGCAGAAAGGGAGGAGGGAGAACTGTAGTCGCCTGATAAGATATGGATGTCTAGGGAGGAGAGGCACTTGGAGAGGGACTGAGATTGGGATTGTCCGGGCATAATGGAATTTGACAGAGCGGCGGCTGAAGCGGACTCCAAGTCCCGGACTACAATACCGATTGTATACTTGTCGCGATGCTGAGAGGAGAGGAGAGCCCGAAGACAGCCTCGGCCTTGGTTGCCTGTTGCGCCTAGGATGAGGATCCTTTGGTTCTCTTGAGTGCCGTTGAGGCGGTGTTCAGCTTGGAACCGGGGAGAAGGTGGTTCAATGGGAGAGGAAGGGGCTATGACCGGGGAAGAGGACATGGGCGACGAGGTTGACGACTCGGTGGTTGAGACTAGGGAATCCAACGAGGCGGCGGAGTTGCAAATTTCCCCGTGGTCCTCGGAGGAGGAGGGCATGATGGGAGAGGAAGCCATGGGTTGTGAGGAGGAAGGGTCAATGTTCTTCAATGAGGGCTCATCGGGGGCTAAGCTCAGGGAGAAAGAGGAGGTGCGTTCGGAGTGAGAAGGCATGATGATCTCTGGGGCGGTTGAGGATCGAGGAGATGGAGGTGGGTGATGCGGTCTGAAGCCTTTGGAGTTGGGATGCTTATGCTCTTTGTACGAGACATGAGCTGCTCCAGCGCTATCTTTATATGACGATTGGCCGATGGTCTTCGTCATGGATCATTCGGACTTTTATGGATTATTTGGACTTCTCCAAATTGAACGGCCGTAAAATCCTTCCTTCCGTATTTATCCACCTCATATCGCTACCATCCGCCGCCTACCGTCGGCCGTCTAGCTCCTCAGTATCACATTTTTTAGCTTCGATATCCAGGCTTTCCCAGGCTACTAGGGCCCCGGAATTGGCAATAGCCCGCCCTGGCCCGCCTGATCACTGTCGACCGGGAAGGTCGAACTGTGTAATGGGCTGATCGAGGCAATTAATCACGGGCCCATTCAGCACACCCATGCAATGTTGATACTCACGAGCTCAGTCACAACCAACCGCATCCTGAAGTAATGAACGCCACATTTCTTCCTCACCTTCTTCCGGAAATGGAAGGCACCCACACCGGGCCACACCGGCCACACTGGGCTAGTGTAAATCGAACTGTCTTGGTCCCGGTCTCTGACGTCTAGATCCCCGATCTATGTAGAAAGCCCAGAACGGCCAGACCGGGAAGGAAGAAAGCAAGAAAGAAAACCATGCCAGCCAAGCTGCCAATTTCACATTCGTTACCACCATGCCTTTCCTGGAACCCCCATTGAGAACTTCAATCGACAATTCTGCATACCTATGCATCGTTCGCCCTTCATGCAAATAGCTGCCCGGCGATCGATGGAACACTAAAAATGGGAAAGTCATTGACACCATCCCGCGCACCCGCCACGCCGCCACCGGCCCCCACGTTTTCCACAAAACTCCAGTCCATGGACTTCACGACATGCTATTTTACGTACTACTGAAGATTCTGTGGTTCGGGGCTCCAGGTCGGTGGCACTGTCCGAGACATTTTCTTCTGGGGAAAAGAGACTGGGGGAGAGTTTGGGGTATGATATCTCGGGCCGAAGCCGACTGGAGACCATGTGGTTGGTTTGAGTTCTGGTTCTGGTTCTCGAACGCTGAACACTGAACGCCAATTAAGCTGAGATAACGTAGTAGCCGTGCATCATATCACGCTCGTTCCAAGATCTTTGGACCGTCAATAGTGAAGACAGGTCACTTCAGCTCGTCGGCTCATCAGGTCATCAGTTCAACAGCTCAACAATGCACGAACAAGTTTGGAGAAGCTTGGAGAAGCTGAAGCAAGTTGGAGAGACGTCAAAATCTCAATGAGGGTGTAAATGCTCGGACTCCCGGCCTATCAGTACATCTGTCTTTGTTGATATGCAAGCCACTGACACCCGTCACGTCACGGATAAATGGTCTGCCGCATTTCTTCGCCGGTTTGTGGGTTTGGCTCGTGACGGACGCTGACAAAGATAGAGGAGAAGGGCATGTGAAGTTGCAATATCGATGTTTCTATCGATGGTTTAGATGCGGGCTGTGTGGCATATTAGGATTTTTTTGCGCAAGGTTGAAAGGCAAAGAACGAAGGCGATATAGAGCACTTTTATCAAATGCGTCAATGGAAATTAGGAAGGCGATCAGATAGAATCTGGTGAAAAGAGTCTTGCTCATGGTTTCAACTTTCATGTACGAGGAGAACAAGGAAGGTAAAGAAGCATTTGTTGGATATACAAAAAATCCAACAGGGAGATGGAAGGACCATGACAAGAAAAGAAGAACGATCAAAAGCAAGGAGGTTGCAACGTCATTTCCTGGAGCCAACAAGCCAAGGGTCTTGATCTCGCTAATAAGACCAACGTCGCCAACGACACCAACATCACCAACATTCTCGCTTGCAAAGGCAAGGTCCATGACCACTATCCCCGCGGCCGGTTATTATTTGTGAATCGATACCGAGTTCTTGGGACACGGGTCGTCCCGGACCATGAACTTCATCTTCCTTTATCGTCTGCTGCTCCGATGGCTCATGGGACGTTACTTTCCCTTGACCATACGATGGATTGAACTCGTACGATCATCTTGCCATCAGTCATCAACATGCTCTGAGAGTGGAGCCAAGCAATGTTGGAGCCAGCTGTCAGCAACAGGAAAATTTCTACTCGCCGGAGCTAGTTGGGGCTAGAATCGCCTGACGAGTTCTGCTATTATCTCTACTGCAGTTCTACTTGCGGAAAGGACGGCACCTTTGCAGGCCCTAGCGGTGTTTGGGCTTGGTCAAAGATCGTCAGGTACGATCCAGATGGAAGCAATGGAGATCATGTCATGTCGCCTGCTTCTCCTGCATAAGGCAATGAGCGGAGGAGTCCATCTGAAGTCTGAAGTTCGTGTCCCCAAGGCCAAACAGACGGAAGTTGTGTGGCTTGGCTGGCTGGCTTGGTATTTCCGACAGCGGCTTGGGATGGGAGTAACCGAGCAAGCGGTGGAAGGAAGTTATTTTATGATGCATCAGAATGATTACCTAGGTTCCCGGTCATGGAGTTACTTTCTAACCGGGCACTCGGTTGTTGTTAGTACCTACACTAGGTACGGTAGGCAATGATGTTGATGGACCTTGGACAGTGTCTTGAAGAAACAATAGGTCGTTGATAGGTACCTAAAGGTGTCATTGCTACAGGAACGTTCTCAACATTCCGAGGAAAATCCCATGCAACCACTTTCTCAACTTTCCGAGGAAACCCCCGTGCAACACTGTTGTCATAGACACTCCAGTCCAGCCATAAACGACCAGCAACAACCTGACCTCCGAGGTCCCAACCCGCTGGCTCCCAAAAACCACAAACCATAAACCACTACACCTCAACTTAAGCATGTCCCCCACAGCAAGGCGCCAACTTCCCTCCCTCTCCACCCAGGACTTGCTCATCCTTCCCACTACCCTCCCCTCCCAACTTATCCCCCTCCCCCGAACTCCCACTTCCTCCCAAACTAACACCCAACACCCTCTCCCCCAACTCCTTCACCTTCTCCACCACCCCTTGCCCTCCCAGTTGCGTCTCACTCAACCCAACACTACAATTAACCTCCTGCCTACTCTCAGCCACATCCAACGCGGGATTCTTTTCAAAAAAGTTACTTGGTCTCAACACCACCCTGCTCGTCTCAACCGGCATAACCGGAAAATCTTCCGTCCTTGGTACATGCTGCAGCCCAAACTGTACCCACACAACCGGCTCATCACCCGTGTCAGCATCCAGTTGATCTTTGCGGTCCGCCCAGCTGCGCACACCCGTGCCGCCGCGCGATTGGTTGGTGTATTTCCCTCCTGCATAGAGCTCGCCTTCGCGGTATTTCGTGACGTAGACGCTGTGGTCGGCAAACTCGGCGCGTTTGTGGTGGAAGGAGGAAGGGTGGGCGAGGATCGGCTGCATCGAGGGGATGTGTAACTTGTAGCCTGCTGGGTGGTTGTTGATGGGGTTGTGAGAGGATGGGGACAAGATTTTGAAGACTCGGCCGGTGGATGGACTTAAATCGTAGCCGCCGGTGGTGGTAATGGGGGTTGTGGTGAGGGTGTAGCCTGTTCCGTGCGGGTTGTGCGTGTTGGCGGAGGGGTTGGATGGGTCAAAGGGTAGGGGGATGCATTCTTCGTAGGCGATTGCGTTGCGGGGGCCTGTTGAAGGAGACAAGATAGGTGCGGAGGAGGTAGATAGCATAGGGTCGATTCGGAGGGAAAAGAAATGTTGATGATAACCGGCTAGAACACCTGGATGCACAATAGTCCCGTAGGGGTGCGGGGTGTGTGACAAGTCGAGGTCAACGGGCTGGGTAGACAGAATCCCCGTGGCGCGAGCTTCGTACGCAAGATCAGCCGAGGTGTTAAACACAAAGCTCAGAATATACTCGTAATTCGACACCGTCAGAATAGTCTGCAGAACCAATTCCCGCTGCCGCGTCACCACAGCCCGGTTAGTCCTATAGTTAGTATGCTTCCAGCCAATACCCGCGTCCTGCTCGTGCACGCAGATGACATTGGGCATGTTAACCGGCGAGCCGCTGCCGTCTGTCAAGACGCCGGAGATGTAGTAGATACTACCCAAACAGTCGCACCCAAGCTTGAGGTTATTGGCCATGATCCCGGCGCCGGCATCGCCTAGATCAAAGGCCGCCTTGCGGTGGAAAGGGTGACGAGGGTCCGAGTAGGGAATCGCCATGTCACTCAGTGACAATCGATAGAAAAGCGGCTTGTTGTTGTAGTGCACGTCATACAAAACCATTCCCTCGCGCTGGTTGAACCCAACCTTGAAATCCCACTTCTGCCAGCGAATAAGACGACCCATCTCGGAGAATGGCTCAACGGTGAAAGAGACGCCTTCGGGCTGGACAACCTGTAAAGGCTTAAGGTCTGTACGAAGACTGGCCTGCGCTTCAGGGATATACTCATTCGGTGGCCGTGGCAGCCACGGTTTCACCGGCTCGACCTTATCGTCCAGTCCAGTGGGGAGGATATCAACGCGGATGACCTCCAAAGTAACAGGGTCGATGACAGGCGAAATAGGAAGCGGGAAGGCGTAGTGACAGGAATCTGCCTCGGAGGAGTTATTCGGGTCTCGCATATAGAGGAAACATTGCATTACCCGGAGGTCATCGTAGAATTTCCCGGACTCGTCCTTGATGCCATCGGAGCCATAGATCCAGGGGTCGATAACGATCTGTGTCCCTTCCGGAAGCTTCAGTTTGGCGATCTCAGCTTGAACCTTGGGGTCCACGAGAAGGGCTTTCTCAACGGCCATGATCTCCTCCCCGTCGCTGTTAGCATGTTGGAAAGGACCCAGCTTGGCGTTGCTTTCGATGGTGTTCTTGGTCAAGTTGACGACGGCTTCGTGCACGTTGTGGGTACCCCGGAGGGAGTACACAACGAAGGCCCGGCGGTCAATATCTAGGGGTGTTTGGCCGGCTCGCTCGGCGACGAGGTAGGGCATGAGCTGGGCTTTGGCTGGCTCGAGAAGGGTGATGATCTTGAAGTGGATTTCTGTTCCCGAGGGCCATGATGTCTTGATCAGAGAGGAACTCTGCGTGATTTCGGAGGCGCTGAGAGGGCCGAGGGGGTGAGATTGGTAGGCTGGGGGAGGGGCGTCTGGTGGTCCATTGCTGGCGGTGTTGGCTACACTCAAAGGCGCGTGGCCGGGCTCTTCTTTGCTGGTTGCTGCTTTGCTGTTTGCCGTCATGTTGGTTGCTGTCGATGTTGGTGTGTGTCCGAACAAGTGTTTTGTCTAGGAATAACGATGGCTTTATGAATGATGTTGATGACCGGGAACAGCGGGGTAAGTATCACGACGGCCGATAAGTGAAAGTCCCGTCTTGTTACCATCCAATCTTATCTTTTCCAAGGAAGTAGCGAACCAATATCATTGGAGAACTGTCCTTCTCTTTTGAGGGGGCTCGCGGGATGAACGCCATCATCTCGGCGTCCAAGTTGATGAAACGTCTCGCCAAGATAGGAGTTACCCGAACTTGTACGTAACTGCTCTGGGCGCAGCCATTCTCTGTCTGCAGAACCCCTCATCGTCATCATCCACGATGGAACACAAGGAAAGGAATGCCGGAAGTGGTTAACCATCGCATCAATCAAGTCGTCGCCAACATTTGTCCTGAATCTGTCACGAGGATTTCCCCGCATCATTTGCTCCGAATGCTCCGAATTACCCCGCTTATCATTGCATCGTCGAATGAGTGGCATGCTGTGTGACATCAACTGTCTTGCGAAGTTTCCATCCAGACCAGCAAAAGAAGCGGGATGCTGGTGGTGTCCGACAGTGATGTTTCTTTCCCATGCAAAAATCACACAAGAAAAGGAGAAGTAAACAAACCAAGTCCCCACAATCAAAAAGCTAAAACAAAAAAAATTGCAAAAGAAATGGGACCTGGGAGGCTCGAACTCCCGACCTCAGGATTACTCTGATGTTTTCAACCAGATCATAGAAAGCTATGAGACCTGCGCGCTAGCCAACTGCGCCAAGGTCCCTGTGACCTTACGGATCGTTGAAGATTTGCCTACGCAGAAGTATTGATATGCGGTTGCCCAAGAGCACCAAAACATGGATGCGACAATGGGAATGGGTGCACGCAGTTGTTTACTTGCCCCCCCTTTGGAGGTGTGAGATATCACGGATCGATAGATGCAATCGAATTAAGAGTATTTATTTTTTCGAAACTGTTATATGAAAAATACGATAATGCGAAAATGCCGAACCAAGATGCTTTCCAGAACCCGCACAGAAATGAGAAAGGGAACATCAACCCCTCTGCACCCCAACACCAACACCAACACCAATATCCCTCACCACATAAATATGCCCATACAAATCTGTCACATCAACAAACAACCTCACCTTGTCCATCTCCCTTGCCCCAACTAATGCCTTCATTTCTTCCATTGCTCTTTCCAGTCCTCGTCTCTCATACTCAGCAATCCACATCAGCTCTTCCTTCACCTTCTTCTCTTCCTCGCCTTCCCCTGCATTCCCTGCATTCCCAATATCCCCCCCTCCAACGCTTCCACCACTTCCGAAGCTTCCACCACCATTCTCCTTCCCTCCCAGTCCTTGAGAACCACCCCTACCAGAGACGTAAAACTCAGGAAAATTAACAGAATTCAGATTCCCCTCCCCTGCATCCCTAGCAACCGACCCATAATCATTATACATCCTACATAAACTCGCCAACCCTTTCACCATTGCTTCCGCAACATAACTCGTCTTTGCATCCCGATTAAACAAATTCCAGGGCTTGCTACCGTTGCCATGATTACCGGCGTTGTGAGAAAGCAGGCAGGTGTAGAAAGTAAAAGAGAAGGGACAGGAGGTGTGGTCTGCTGAGGTTGTGCGGACCCAGGAGTAGAAGGTTCTAGAGTCTTTGGGTGTGAAGATTTTGGTTTTGAGCTGCTCTTGTGTGCTGGTGGAGGCAGAAGTGGAAAGATGGCGGCGTTTAGATGGTGGCTCTTGGGGGGAGGAAGGATCGTTGGTCTCGGAGATGGGAGACGGAAGACCGATCTCCTGCTCTTCATGAGAATGGTTGTCCTGCTGAACCTGGCTTGAAGCGGCGAATTGGATGTTGTCAGCAGCGTGCTGGACGTGCGCCAGCAGGAACGTCTGCATCTCCTTTGCCAATCTGCCCTGCACACCCTTCGATGCCCCCTTAACAGCCGGGTGCAGCAGAATATGCCGAACATATCTCGACAGCGTAGCCCGGATGATCTTCAGGTTCGTAGGCGTATGATCTGCCTCTCCCCAGATACTCCTCCTCCTACTAGTACTAGTACCATTAGGATGATCAAACTCCTTAAACACCTGCCCAATCACTTCCCTGACGGCTTCGAGACTGCCCCTGCTTCCGCTGTAGAAACCCAAAAAGTCCCGCTCAACGGCTGTCTCCATGTATTCGTCGACTTGGTAATTGAGCAAAGATAAAATCATCATCTCTTGCAGGATGTAATTGCTTAGACCTCCGCTGTGGCTGTGACCATGACTGCCAGTGGCTTGCACCCGCAAAGCATTGCTTGCCGTCCATGTAAGCGGGATAAAAGTCAAGTACTTCTCATCCGCCCCTTCTCTTGCAGGGAAAATTCCCAGCTCTTCCCTCTTCCGCTGCAAAAACCCAAGGGCATAGCATGCCTGCATCTCTGCGACTCTCAACAGCTGTGGTGCCAGATTCCTGAACAGGGGTGTGAGGGAGATGAGCTGGCCTGCTTTTAACACACCCTTGAGCAAGCCCTCGGAGACGAAGAGGGAATCATTGGTCTTCTGCAGCAGTTGGCCATTGGTGCCCACGATGGAACCACTGAAGTCTGGGACAGGCACGACGGCCGCGGCTAGACAGTACGTTTCGCACAATACCAGCGACGCATAGGTGACCTTTTCGATCCAGAGGTATTGGCCCTTCTTCCAGTCTTGCTTGTGAGCTTCCAAAAAGGCCTTGCCGTTTTCGATGCTAGCGGTAATGAAGTTGACTCCATGCATGCGGCCGAGTTGTTGGATCCAGGGGAGATGGGAGAGCCAGGAAAGGGTGAGAACGCCGTAGGCTGTGAGTTCGACGATGCCGTTTGCCCATGACCCATCAATGCCCTGTGCGCCGAGGACTTTGGCGAGGACATGAAGGGAGGCCATCGGGATTTGCTCCTGGAGTTCTAGAGCGAGTTGGAAGATGGATGCTTCGAGGGAGGGGTTTCTCGCCATTGTGTCGAAGAGAGTGGCGAAAGACTGGGAGAGGAGCATCATCCAGTAGAGTTCGTTAATATGCTGCCATTTGTCAGTGCTTGCTTCTCCTTCGTCTCGCTGGGCTGGGAAAGTACTTACCCATTTCTCCCTCACACTATCAGTGTGTACCTGCTCACAGAGGAACTTGGCCGTCTTGACAATCTGCTGAGCATAGATCGTGGGATCATCCATCATCAATAGACACGTCAGAACGTTGCAGTTAGCGCTGATACTCGGATTCCTTTCTCCTTCATACGTCCTGAAGTGGTCCTTTGCTTCAAAGGCCCTGATCAGCGACTCGACGCCAACCTCGGTATTACCAAGATGTCTCAAAGCCATGATGGCTCTTGCCGTATCATCCGCGTCGACAAGTCCGCCGGGAACTGTAAACCATGAAGTTAGCACTTTCCCTTCTTTCGGCCTTTCACCCCTCTATCCCCAGTTCCCAAAGAACCGAGGAAGGATGGTCATGGGCAACTCACAAAAACTAAATAACCCTCCCTGCTTCACCCACCCCTCCTCCAAATATTCTCTAATCGCCGCTCCCCCACCCTCGTCAAACCTAACCCCCGCCTCCGCCAACGTAGTAACAACCCACGTAACCTCAAAAGTCTCCGTAGGCCACGCACATGGCACGCCCCCATCGCCCTTCTCTTCCCCCTCCGCCTCACCACCAAACCTCTCCCGTTCCACCACCCCTCTCAGGTACTCCTCCGATTGCGCATCCCACATGCCCTTCTCCACCAAGCCCATAAGGTAAGCAGCCGTCGACGCAGGCGAAGCAAGCATACTCCCATTTTCCTCTTTCAGATGCCCGACTTCCGTAAAGTCGATGTATCCCGTCAGCGCCTCAAGGGAGTGATAAAGCGTTGAACGGGCTTGGTAGACGTAATTGGCTGGGAGTTTGGCTAGTTTGGCATCATGCAAGGCTCGGAGGGCCGCAGAGCCGGGGAAGTCAGACAGTCCTTGCACGCCGGCCTCTTCCAACAATAAGAGGAGACGAGTGACGAGGAGTTCAAAACCGACTTGGTCTGTTGATGCGACGTCCCATTTGTTGAGCATTTCTTTGAGAGCGGTGGAAGCATGGGCAATACGGGAGGGGAGGGGCCAGTCGGGTTCTTGCTGCGTGGGTCGGTGAGAAGAAGAGAAAAGCGAGTGGCGCTTGAGAGCCAGGAGGGCGGCGGCTGTGTTGAGGATGGCATCAATGGGCGTGGCGTAGGACCATCCACCCGAAGGGAGCTGGTGTTGGAGGACGTAGGTGAAGCATTGGGGGAAGAGGAATGATCTGGAGTTGTCGGAGGGCTTTTGGATCATGGAAAGCCAGGCGGTGTCGTAGATGGCGGAGGAGGTGGTGCCTAGGCCTTTTCCTGAAGAGCAGTGGGAGGAGACGAATGTGATGAGGGAGTTGATTTGTGTTTGAAGACTTGTGGGATCCATGATTGTGAATGTGTGATTTGTGATGTTGTAGTTGAGTTAGTAAGGTAGTTGTGAATAGAGTCTTTGTTGATGGAGAATGAACTGCAAAGGTGGACGGATGTTGAAGTATTATACTTTTTTATCACGCCTTATGGACGAGGGCTCTCGTTCCTGGTTGCCAGCCAGAACCAGGAGATGCACGAGGAAGTTCTTTACTCGCACCCAAGGTGATAGTCCCTGTGCTAGACTTCGACAAGTCCCAGATGCGGTCCACACCACGGAGTGTTCTGTCCTATGATCGTCAAGTTCTCCTCAAGTTTCATGAGGCCAAGCTTGTCAGTTGTGACAATTGACCAAAGACATGACTGCGATCAACAAGCTGATGGATGAGGACCACATAGCTGGACTCTAGGACACAAACAGGATTCTACGTAAGCTTCAGTCCCATGAACAATGGCCGCCGAGGGTCTTCGGAGTTAGCCACTTCTTGCACAGAGAGTTAGCAGCCAACAGACTGTTCTAAAAGCATCGTGTACCCGATTTTGCGTTGCAACAGAAAGCCACTTACGGCTGTTTCATCCGAGCCCGCTGACCTCAAACATCCGGGTCATCAGTTCCGACTCTGCCGAGCTCCATCAGGTTGACGACAACTCGTGGTTGATGGAGCTTTGGAAAAGTCAAAAGCACCGGTGTGGTTCTAGCACGGCCCGAATGCATGGTTCTGATGGAGTTAGTACACCAGGCTTACTGGCCTGAACTCGCTTCGCCTTGTTTGTAAAGACAACCACACGTTTCGATCACGACCTTAATTCACATCCCTCACGAGGTTTGGTGGATTGGGGATTAACCTATGGATTTTCCAGTGCGCCTTGTCGAGTTCGATGCCGTGTTGTCAACGGGGCCGTTTTTGTGTAACCCGGACTAATTCCCACCCACTGCTTTTGGGTCCGCCAGGGAGTGTGACGGTGATACTGTAGCTGAAGTCGGTTGAAGATGTCTCGCTTCATCATCTACCCGGACAACGATCCGGGTTTTGGATCCAGGGCCATTACGTGAAATGTCTCAGTTTGGTGTGTATCCCAGGGCGAGTCAGGGCGAAGCTATCACCAAATCCCCGGAGTAGCCTTGTGGCGTGTAAGACAGGGGAGGGAGCGGGTACACTATGTGACCAGCTCGACAGGGATTGATAGCAAGCTGCAGCCCTGAAAGTCGGGCCCCCCTGTTAGGCTGCGTTGGGTCAATGACGGCGATCAATACAGTGGAGTGAAACACCAAAACTCCGGAGGGTGGTGATAATGATGATGATTCTCTGGGACCTGGGGCTGCAACTGCAAGACGGTTGATGCCATGCTTGACATGATGTTGTTGATCATTCAGCTTGATGCCGACGGTGCCTGACTGACTGTATCTCCTGGGGTAGCACAAGGTGCATTCTCACCTTTGGTCCCTGAGATGGAGTGACGCAGATGAACCCAGCCGACTGGAGGCCAGAAATCCACGTAACGGACGCGTGTTAGGTTCGGGTAAGAGACGGCTTTGCAAATCGCAACAGTACTCTCTCCAACTAGGCAACCAGTTGGGTGTTTGCCGTCAAATCCAGCTGCCTTATTAGTACTGGCCCTGCGCCGCACTCTTGCTTCACTTGAGAGGCCGAAAACTCGATAAGCCATACATGTAACGTCGACCATGACCATCCATAAAATGTCAGCTCTTCTCAAACTGATCCGAGTTACTAGGACTCACCTCCTTTCCACCACAAAACACTCATTCTTCCGCCAAAACTCAACAATGTCCGTCCCAAAGACCGACTTAGAACGAGCAGCCGCTGCTCGCGACCTCTTGAAGTCCATCTTTGGACAGCGCGTCACCACCTTTGATGACGATGCCTCCGGGCCACGTTTGGCTCTCAGAGCTCCCTGGTATGTGTGTTTCTTCCGCCTCTTCTCACCAACACCGGTTAACCACCTCCCAGGTCAACAACCTGCCATACCCGCTCCGCCGCCTATTTCCAACCCGAGACCCCCGCCGAAGTCAGCACCGCCCTCTCCATTATCACCAAAACCCAATCCAAGTTTGCTGTGCGCGCCACCGGCCATAACCCAAATCCGGGTTTTAGCAGCACTCATGAAGATGCTGTAATCATTGATCTGCACCGGCTGGATACCAAGACTTTTGACGAGGAGACCGGCATAGCAAGCATCGGCGCCGGGAACACCTGGGGCGAGGTGTATACCTGGCTCGAAGGCAAGGGGAGAAGTGTGATGGGTGGGCGGTATCAGGAGATTGGTGTAGCTGGGTTTTGCTTAGGAGGAGGGATGCCGGGGTTTGTGAACTTGAGAGGCATGGGGTGTGATCAGGTCCGGGGTTTTGAGGTCGTCCTCGGAGACGGAACCCCGGTCTACTGCTCCGCCCATGTCCGATCGGATCTCTACCGGGCGTTGAAGGGCGGCGGATCGAACTTTGGGGTCGTCACCCGGTTCGAGTTGCAGACGTATGCGTTGTTGAAGACGCAGTATATCGTCAGCTTGTACAAGCCAAATGATTATGCCAACATCATCAAGGCGTCGGTGGATGCGCACAAGGAGATGGAGAATGATCCCAAGGCGGCGTACTTTACCAATGTCCACAGGGACTTTGTCGCCATCGGACAGTTGTATGCCGATACGCCAAAGGAAGAACCAAAGGTGTTTGAGCCGTTCAGGAAGCTGGAGAGTATGATGGCGCCGGTTGTGCCCAAGACTGATGGTACGCTTTCAACGCTGGCGCAGGCCATTGGACATCGGCCTCCCAAGGGGAAGTAAGTTGTTCTTTTTTTTTTTTTTTCCCTCTTTCGAAACCTCCTTGATCTGTTGTACATGCTGACCACTCCCTAGACGCGTCATCTTCACCATTTCCACCAAGGTCGATCAAGACCTCTACCTCGCCATCCACAAAATCTGGCAAGACGTAACGGCAACCCTACCTTCTTCGGCCGATGGCACAGACCTGCACTACACCATCCAGCCTGTGACTGCCTCCGCCGCGCGTGCCGGTCAAGACAACGGAACAGGTGACAACGCCCTCGGCCTAGAGGAGGTGTCGCAGAACTGGTATGTGTTCACTTTGGAGTACCAATGGAACGGAGATGATTCTGTGCATAAACCCGCCATGGATAGTATTTACGAGCAGGTGAAGAATGCTGCGGAGGAGAGCGGCTTGTTGTTGGATTTCGTTTGCCCGACATTTGCCGACAAGAGACAGGATGTGTTGAGGGGGTTTGGGGAGGAGAATGTTGAGTTGATCAAAGAGGTGGCGGGGAAGTATGATGGAGAGGGTGTTTTTCAGAAATTGCAATATGGAGGGTTTTTGGTGAGGGATTTGTAGGTGGCGACTGCCCCCGGTGATGGTGATGGTGATGGTGATGCTTTGCGATTGGTGTTTTTTTTGTGGTCGTCAGTCATGCAATGCATTTGCAGGAGGGGTCGGATAGCGCATTATTTACCACTCACTATCATACTGCCGTGTGATTCCCACGTTGAAGTAGTTATTGAAAGTTACTGCCCAACCTCCTACAGCATGCATGCCTCTTTCCATCTGCAGCGCAAACACACTACCTTTTTTTTCCCTTTACATCACCTTTTGTCCAACTCACAACTCGAACCTGCTTTAGCCTCTGTGGCTAAGGTAATTAGGGGCAAACCACCGACCACGTCCATCATCTCCCGCTGTATCACTCGAAATAAACCGGCACTCAAAGACACTCGACCATGTTAACCCAACAACCCATCCCAACACCGCACCTCACGTCATCTTTTCCTTTGTTCTACAGGTCCCGTCATATACTGGCGGCTCGCTCACTGGGCGATTCGATTATAAGTGTTGGGCCGCGTTTACGCTATGGGCAACACATGATTTACACTGGCAATAGGCCTCGGTTTGCCCTCGGATTAATGGTTTTGGTAGACAGTTAGGGCGTTGCTCTTAATTTTGTATGCTAGACTCACCGGTGCGGCACGTCTCATGCCCTACGGGAGGCGGAAGTAGACGTTAAAAATAACAACAACAATAACAACAACAAAAAAAAAACCGCACCTCACGTCCGGCTTTACAGAGTACCATTCCCGACTGTTCGGTATTCCCGTGTCGGACCTTATTCTGAGACATGTTCGTAGATCATCACGTGCAGACATGGACATCGCCGCCCTATGACCCCACAGTGTGTGATATTGTGAATGCCTTCAACATCCCTGTCTCAGCCCGTCAAGGGTTCCAGTGTTCAACAAGAAACTCCGAAGCAATCAATCAATCATCAACACCTCACAACACCAGGGCAACATCGCGGAATAAGACATGTTCCGCACCGCAGTTTGGGCAAATTCACTGTACCCGCTGCATCCATCCACTGCGGAATAAGGCCATCGTCGTATTATGGATTCAAGCAGGGAACTAACGTCAATATCATACCTCACAGGGCGGAATGGTGAGACAGTTGACGCCTTGTTGATAGCCACTTCCAGCTGCCATGGCTCCAAGATTTCATGACTCGACCGACGTCTCCACGGACTACACGTTGACACCAGCAGCTGAGAAGTGATCGCTGTTCGGAGTATCCACAGCCACGAACTGTCAAGACAAGTGGAACTTGCTTCTTTCTTGTTTGATATGCACGACATCAGCCTGTCAGGATTGTGTGTCTAATGCTTCGCCGGTTTCCCAATGGATGGCCATTGAGGATTGCAACGCGTGTGGTTGTAACAGACCCCGAGATGTGCTGCTGTTGTTGTCGTGGCTGCCTCGTGTGATCGTCAGGCCCCGGAAGGACAGAAGGACTCAAGGAAGGATTATGGCGAAACAAACTCCAGCTGAACAAAGTTGAAAGGTTTGTGATCAAGAGAGACATGAGCGTCATGTGGAGACTGAGGTCGCCGACTTTCCCTTCAGTATCAAGGCAACACTGCCCGGTGAGCATAAACATCAGAGACTAGAACTCCAGCCTTGCTTCGGCTCACATTTGTAGGATGATATGTGATAGATTCAAACTTTTCGGTCTCTTCACTGACTCCGAGTCTCAGCCCTCGAGGAACTAACTAGATGATACGAGTCAGGAAGTACAGCTTCACTTCATGTGAGGAAATTGAGATCAAACAAGAGGGAGATGAGCCAGTCAACGGAAGTCAGATAGACATAAAGGACAACGGAAACCTCTCTCCCATCTCAATCTCAACCCATATCATCCACTTCATCCTTTTCCCAACCAAATCTTCACCAACCATAGCACACAAAGAAATAACACAATGAACACACTACATAACACTTCCTCCCCACCAGGTCCCGGGCTTCAGGAGACATCATCTGGTACCCATCACATCAACCTTCTCCCACTCAAAGAAAAAATCGAAAGCCTCAGCTATCCCAAAACCTTCGCCCTCATCCTCGTCACATCCTGGCTCCTCTCCAGCACCGCCAAATGGCTCACCAACGGCAAGCAAAAGAAGCTCACAGTCCCTGTATTTGGCTACCGATCATGGTTTGAGCCAACGTTTCTGTTGCAAACCAGATTTGTGAGGGGGGCTAGGGAGTTGATTCACGATGCTTATACCAAGGTTAGTATTTCCGTGGAGAAAGAAGAGCGGGAGAGACGGGGGGAAGATGAGTAGAAACTGACAAAGACAATAGATGCCGAACATGCCCTTCGTCCTCAAACGCTACGATGCCGATTTCTTGATCTTACCCATCCGATATCTGGACGAGCTACGCTTGATCCCACTAAGCAAGCTGAGCAACAAGGGTGCTAACGTTGCCGTACGTCCTTTTCTTCCCCCTTTCTGTCTCCTCTTATCCCCAATCACTAATTACGACGCTCGCAGAACCTCGTCCCCGAATACCACGGCATAACCTTCCTCCTAACCAATAACCTCCACGTCGAAGTCCTCCGCAAGAAACTCACCCCCGAGCTGTGGAAATTCATTGACTCCGCCTCAACGGAGCTTTCCCACGGCTGGGACATCTCCCTTCCCCTAGCCGAACTCTCCACCAACGGGAATGACTGGGTGAAAATTGACTTTGAGCGCACAGTCCGTGACCTGGTCGCTCGCATGACCGCCAAAGTATTCCTTGGGGATCCGGCCTGTCGCGATAAAACTTGGCTTGACATCTCCGTCGATTTCTCCATTGACTTGTTCACAGCCAGTTTCACAATGAAGATGTTCCCTCCGAGGATGTACCCGCTCGTTGCCCCTCTGATCCCAGCCAGGAGGAGGGTGTTGAAGCAGTTGAAAGCTGCTCAAATCATTGTCGGGGAACAAATGCACAAGCATAATTCCCTCAAAGAGAAGAGGGCACAAGCAGCACGCGGCGAAGTCGCGCTGACGGAGGAAGAAGCGCAGGATACCTTGCTCGATTGGATGTTGGATCACGGCAAGGGGTCTGAAGTGTCTGTTGAAGAGATGAGTGCGCGGCAGTGTGTCTTGACGCTGGCAAGCATTCATACCACTGCGAGCCAGACGGCGAATATGATGTTTGATCTTTGTGAGCACCCGCAGTGGTGGGGGGTGTTGAGGGAGGAGGTGGATGAGATTGCGAAGGAACTGGGGCCGCCGGGGACGGCTGGAAAAAACGGAGGTGTTAGTGTCAAGGAGTGGTGTGTCAGGTTGGAGAAGATGGATAGTTTCTTTCAGGAAACGCAGAGGAAGGAACCGCCTATTCTTCGTATGTTTCCTTTCCCCTTTTCCTTCCCTTCCTTTTCTTTGCCTCTCCCTCCCTTTCCATTCCACTCCCTCTACTAACACCCCAAAAAGTCGGTCCCCAACGTCTAGCCCAACAAAACCTCACCCTCAAAGACGGCACTTACATCCCCCGCGGCACCCGCGTCGCCTTCCCCATGCTCGAGCACCAGAACAACCCCCAGACCTACGCCAACCCGCACGAGTTCGACCCCATGCGCTTCTACCGCAAACGCCACTCCTCCCCGGATCAAATGAATTTGCACATGGCTGGTCAGACACATCCCAATGTTTTGGGCTTTGGATATGGAAACCAGGCTTGTCCGGGACGACAGTTTGCAGTGGCGGAGATTAAACTCATTATGGCGAGGATGGTGTATGAGTTTGAGTTTAAGTTTGCGAATCCGGAGAAGGGAAGGCCGAGGACGGGGTATGTCAATGAGATGGCTATGACGGATTGGAATGCCAGGTTGTTGATGAGGAGGAGGGTTAGGTCAGAGTAGGGGAGTGCGGGTTAAGCATATGTGGGGGTGTGATGAATGGAAGGCGGTTGAGGAAGGGGATTGAGGGAAGGAGATGTAAGGTGGAGATGATGGATGGATGAGAGCCAGGGAAGGCGGGAGCACAGCGGATTGTTGATGATTCGAAGACGCAAGGTACAGTGATGGTCAGAAAATACTGTTCCCCCCAATCCATATTGAATGCACTTTAGGGAGGCCTGTTACGTTTTGACCATCAGTTTTAGCTATCGCGATTATATCACTGTTCTTTCATTTCTTCGAGACACGACTGGTTGCCTACTTAAAAGAAGCTAATAAATTCTTCGCCAGTTACTTTCTGGTTACGTATCGCAAAGATCCGAACACCAAGTCCTCTAAAGCACGCTCAAGAGTAGTGATCCTGAAACGAAGCGCAACATGGGATGCACCTACTCATCTTCACTTCGCTAAAAAGAGATACAAAGATGACGAAACCGTAACTTCCTACTAAGGTATATCCAATCTCGCGTGAGCGCAGTCTAATCCCAAGCCAATCACCTCCAAATACACAGAACCATCCCGTCCACTAACATTTCCTATACTCGTCCAAGTCCGTCCCAACCAAGAATCCCATCATTCCCTTCATCTTTCACTTCGTTTGATCCTTCCCCTGCTTTCCCCGTTCCACCAATCTACCCACACCACAGTCCTAACCATCCCTAATCATCATCCGACATAACAGGACTATAAACAACCTGCCCCCCATCCATAGTAACAGGCAAATACTTCGCCTCCTTTTTCTTTCTCTCCCAAGGCCACTTCCTGGGCAGATCCAGCCTCTCAGCATTTTCCTTGGGATAAACCTTCCCGCTCTCAGCATCCACTCTCCAAACCAGACACGTCCTACTCAGCCCCTTTCCTCAATCCTTTCCCCCACTCTTTCTTCTCTCTCTCCTCTTTCTTCCATCTTCGCAAGTTCCAAATCCCCCAACCACCCCGACTCCCAAATCCCATCCTGCACTCCATCCGGCGCCAGATGCGGCCGCGAGTCAAAATCCCCATAACCCGTGCGTCCTTGCACCGTCCCCCTTTTTTAAACTGCTCCCCTGTGTCTCTTTGGCACTCATCCACGGGAATCCGCAAGTACTTGTTACACTCTTGTTCATCAAACCTCCACTCACACCCCTCTTTCACCTCCAAACTCACCAGCACATGTGTATACGGAAAAACAAAACCCATATCCACGAAATTAAATTGATGTTGGCGATACCCGACCAACGGCCACGTGGGCATAGCCGCTTCTTCCCTATCAAGTTGCAATCCCTCCTGCCACCACTCGTCCTCCTCGGGATCCGGAGGGGTGTGTGTATCGTAGGGGTTTTTGGGGATATAAAAGGGGGGATGGCTTGGGCGAGGGTGAGGCCCCGTAAGGTTGCGCGCTTCGCGGGATAGGTATCGGCAGAAGGAGGTGATGGATTTAATCATGTCGGTGCGGGACTCGAAGCGGCCGGTGTGGTAGCAGTTTAGGAGACGGTTTTGAGGGGGGTGGAAGAGGGATGTGATTTCCGATGGGGAAGGGGGGAGGGGGAGGGCGTGCAGGAGGGGGTGGGAGGAGGGGGATGGGTTTAGTTGGGGTTGGTGGGTGGGGTTTGTGTCGGCGGTCACGACGACCGTGACGACGACGGGGTCGGGAGCGGGTGGTTGTGGTTGTGGTTGTTCTTCGGTTTGGGCGGGAGCGTCGGGGGCGGCGACGGCGTGGGTTCTGATACTGGTGATGAGGTGGGTGCGGATGCTGATTATGGTTTTGGTGGGTTCGGGAGGAGAAGGGGTGATGTCGGCGTCGTTGTCGGTGCCGGTGGGAACGTCAGGTTTGACGATGATGGTCGAGAAGGAGGTACGGCCATGGGTCACGGTGACGGTTTTGATGGCTTTGGCTGTGGCGGCTGTGGCGGCTGCTGTGATGGTTGCTGAAGCCGGTACCTCTACTATATCTCTCGAGAGCGTAATGTCTGTGTCTATTGAAGGTGAAGTTAGAAACTGCAAGACAGACATGGAGAGAGAAACGGAGACAAAATGATGGGATGCGTGTATCTTACCACTCTCACTCTCAAATCGTTGGCCTCCTTCCGCGTTGACCGTGTCGTTGTTGTCCATGTCGTTGTTGGCCGTATCTGCGTTGCCCGTGCCCAGGTTTCCCGTGTCGTTGTCGGCCGCGCCCCCGTCTTTAGCGGCGGTTGCCGTCGCTTTTGGTACCTTCATTATTGAGTCCCTTAATTTCGGGATGATCGTGAAGGGCCAGGCGGAGGAGCCTGAGGAGGTCGTCTTTGTTGTGCTCGGAGACACGGACACAGAGGCGGATACAGACCCAGAAAACGAAACGGAGGTCAAACTCTCGGCCCTAGTCCCGGTACTGCTCTCAAAAACTTGACCTTCTCCATCCTCAGTAACATCGACAACGGCCAACACCTTTCTAGTCGAAAATGTAGTCCTAATCTCCGTTCTGTTCATGTTCGGAGTTACGGTGGGCACCGGGCTGGTGGTGCTAAACACTTCAACTTCTGAGTCCGAAGAAGGGATCACCAAAGTCTGCGTCTCGAAGCCTTCTTGAAGACTTTCGATCTTGGCTCCACGTCTGTCAACAGCGACAAGGGCGTATGCGGCGGACGAAAAAAAGAAGAAGATGGTAAGCCAAGAAAGGCGGAAGCGGCGGCGAGGAATGGTTGTGTGTGATGACATTTTGGAGTAGTTGTTCGAGGACTGGAATAGTTTGATGGTTGTTGAGTTTTGTTCGTTCGTAGTGTGTGATGATCTGACAAACGTCTGTGTGTCAGATGGCTAACGAACGTTTTTTTCGTGAAGAAGAAAAAAAATATATATAAAAAAAAAGAAAAAGAGAAAGGGGAACAAGAGTCCCTCCGGAAGATGAGTGATCTTTTATCATTGCACACAAAAATATTCTATGGCAGAAAGCGATGCGTGTCCTCCTTTCTTTTTTTTTTTTCGCAGCTGCGGACATGGATACAGGTATTTCTCATGCATATCTTTTAATGCGCTCGAAATATGCGATGTCCGCTGATTTTTTTTTGCTGCTTTCTGACTTCGTGGCTATGTCCCGATATGCAACGCATTCCGGAGCGAACGTCGGAGCAGGTACTCGGAGCGGACTCGGGAGTGCGGAGGTACATACCCCCTTTTCTGCCGGTCAACTATTTGATGAGCATTAGCACCTAAAGTCATCTTCTGATCAGCAAGGAATTAGCAAAACAAGACGCTCCGCAACAACAGGTTCTCCTTGTGTGTATTTTCGAGTGGCTGAGACCGTTAGAGATCTCCATTTTGACATAAGAGCTCGATAAACCCCACGGCCGAGTGGTGTGGATTGTTTGACGAGGATATACATTGGAAAGGTGTTGTAAAGTGTCCTCGATGATGCTGACGACGACGATGATGGTGACAGTGGTGATGATCTCGACAACAATCAAGGTGGTATGCAATCTAGTAGGGAATGATCCAAGTCTCCTACATGGCCACATATGTTAATATGCAGGGGAGTACATGTAGGTGTATACAGGCAAAAGGCATGCAGAAAGAGATATACCAGTTTCATGACCACTGCCACATCATAACAAGATAAGCACGTAAATAAAATAAGCAAGTAAATGGCATAACCACGTCAATAAAGTAAGCGGTAAGTAAAGCCAGAATGATTCTCCAACCTTGCTTGCGTTGCCAGATCTTGGAATTTGTTCGCCTCTCCTGTGGGGGAGGGCTTCAGCCCAGCCAAGACCCAGGAAGGGGTAGAAAATAAGAAGACGGAATGGCAAAGGGGGAGCAGATAGATTATAGAAGTAGGAAAACCTGCAGCAAGAAGGACATCAGTTTCATGCTTGCACATGCTCATCCAGGTACAGCCTGGATGACTCTTCAGCCTTTCTTGAGCTGCCAAATCCTGGAATCCGCGTTTTCTGATGTGGAAGGTGGCTTCAGCCCACTGCAGGACTAAGGAATGTATACCTCCAGAGAAGACACGGTGGCATAGCGGAAGTAGATAGATCATAGAGACAAGAAGCACGCAGTGCAGCGAGACACCCGATTTCATGACCGCCGGAAAATCCCAAACTGGGTAAGGCAAAGCCCGAATGACACTTCAGCCTACCTTAACTTCCGTCGCCAAACCTTGGAATTCTTCTCTTCTGCTATCTGTGGGAGACGGGGGATAGCTTCAACCCAGCCCAGCTCCCAGGACCAAGGAACTGATAGGGAAGTGGAAGATAGAATGGGGTAGGGAGGTAGATGAGGTGTGAGAGTGAAAGCGGAAAAGAAAAAAAGACAGAGAGGGAGAGAGAGAACCAATAGATAGAAGAAGGGGTACTCGTCAGGTGTATACAACCGACCGTCTGACTAGCGCTAACCAGTAGGATAAGAGCTAAGAAGAACATGACATAGTCGGTTATCCCGATGCTCACTTGAGCTCCCAATACTACAATATTAAACATCTTCGAGGAGTCGAAGGAGACTGATAGAAGAATTCCGTGTCACCTTACAAAGCCGTGACCAGGCTGAAGAGAATCAAGATATAAAATTGCCGATCATTATATCACTATGGCCCATATCCCGCTCAAGTCACCAGTCCAAAACTCCAAACTCCCTTCCCTACCACCTTGTCCCATACTATCAGCCTTTGTAATAGCCCAAAACACTGCTGCAGTCCTACACAACACACCACCCTCCCGTCAAAGACCACTCAAAAGAAACTCTTCTTAATCCCCCCCAACAAAAAATCCCTCTTCTGCTTCTTAACAAACCCATCCACATCCTCCGCCCACTTCCCCGTGGTATTCGCCAGATTATCCATGCTGTCACCCATGATATTCAGCTTTTCCGTGCGCTCATTCAGTTGTCTAGTCAAATAATCTCCCCATCCCTCCGTCTCTCTGACCTGTCCTTGAAGTCTGGCAGTACTTGATCCCGCTGCACCGGCGGCAGCGGGATTGTAGATCCCCGCACCGCTGCGTTCTGCATCTGTTGCTGCTAGCATGCGCTTGGAAGCAGGACGCTCGGGCCCGCCGATAAGTAAGTCAAGGTCCGTGGGGGAGATGTATTGTGTCCCTGAAAGCCATTGGACGTTGGAGATTGTTGGTCTGGCGGGTAACTCGCGGTTGACATTGATCATTGTGTCGAGGGTATTTTCTAGGGAACGGCCGGTGCCGCCCCAGACTGGCAAAACGGTGATTTCCGAAGGACCGGTAAAACCGAGGACGTCACCTGTTTTGGAAATGACGGTTGATACGGTACGTAAAGGGTCGAGCATGGGCAACGGACGCTTGGCGATCTCGCGGAGACCGGGGAGGGTGTATGACCGGAGAGAACGGTCGTTGAAGACGGCGACGAGGGCGTAGCCGTACGTGGAGATGGAGGTGTCGGCGGGGGTGACACAGGCGGCGTCGCAGAGGATGCCGGAGTCAAAAGACTTGGAGGCACCGCGGGCGTTAGGGGGGCGGAAAATTTTGGATTCTGTTTGGGTGACTGCACGGGAAGTTAGAACTGGGTTTGAACTCAGTGTTACGTGGAAAAGAAAACGGAAACTCACCAGCAACCAAAACACCATCAACCATTCTCCCCTCTCTCAAACCAGCGACAACCGGTCCCGTAGCGCCCGCCTCTCTACCCGTCTGGACATCAATAGGACAAATAGCCACCACCTTATCGTCCATATTCGCAACACCCGCCAGCTGCACCGTGTACCCCTGGCCAGAAGGTAACAGCTTGAAAGTCGCAACCCTTCCCAGATTCGTGCCCACGAAACAGCAGATACTCGAGTAATTCTCCCCATCAAGCGTCATGACTCCAAACTCGATAACTGTAGGCCACTCCGGCTTCCCGCCATGACTGGAGCCGGACGAATGCTTGAACAAACCCCTCTTCTCTGCTTTGGACCATTCTGTGACACTCCCGTAATGAATCACCTTTGGCCCTCTCAGGTCAATAATCGACAAATACCCGCCTTCCGAGCCAGCAGCCACAAAGCCCACATCCGACACCGCCACCACGCTCACCCTCCCCTGAGCCATGTTATGCATCACAAACGGCTGCAGTCCTTCCTTGAGTGACGGTTCCGCTCGCGAAGAAATATCCATCAGTCCACCCCTCTCACACTCCCCAACTCTTGGGTCCTCTCTGCCAAAGTTCTTGTTGATTCCCCACCGCCAAACAATCACCTCACCAGTCTTTGTTCCCGCCGCAAACTCTCCCGTCTCCTGCGCCATGTGCATAGCCGTGGTCTCCACGCCGCCTTCGAAGCGGCTAAGAGACCTGGCGACGTCTACTTGACATTGCGTGGCGTTCTCAATCTCGTCCCCTCTGCCGATATCCCACATGCGGACAATGTTATCCGCGTGTAAGACTTGGACGATGTTCCGCTGCTCTTTGCGCGTTCGGTGCGAATATTCGACTCCTCCGCGGAGGATCTGCTCCCCGAGCGACCTCTTCTCTGCCATACCCAGCCATCGTGCCCTCGGTACGGTGCTGACAGCAACTTTTTGCACAAAGGGGTGGACGAATGATAAGCTGGGGTGGAGCATGTTGGTTGGGGAAATCGGAAAACCGGAGGGGAAGGTCAAGGTGATCAGCTCACCCGACGAAAGCTGGACCAGAATGGCAATGGGATCTTGGGCACCGTTGAAGTATGGCGACGACCGCGGGATAAGGACGTAGTTGACCACTGAGGCACCCGGAGGTGTGGTGATGGGAACGGAGCGCTTGCCGTCAAAGTGAGCAGCGAGAACTTCCCAAGAGGAAGTAGCGTAGATGGGGGTAGGACCCAGTTCGAGGAAGGTGAGATTACTTGCGGTGGGATCGTCGATGTTATGCCCACCAGCAATTAACAGACCGGTGTTGTCGGGATCAGTCTGGCAGCACCAGGAGATGCGGAGAAACGGAGCAAGACGCATCGGTCTGGGTGGGTTGGCAGTAGGTTCGTTGACCTTGGTATGGTACAGAGATCTGGCAGTAACCAGCCTACCCTCCTTGGTATCCCAGATGGCAATGCTCCCATCTTCATGAGCAGTCAAGACGAAAGTGCCCGTAGGATGCCAAGCCGCATGGACAACCTTTGGTTTCCTCGCCGCGTGCATTCCATGGCCATCACCACCTGGAGCTCCAGCGGGAAGCTCATACTCCAAGTATTTCTGGACAATATTCTGCTTGAACGAGTAGATGACGGCTCCATTGGTATACGCAATCAAGATCTTGCCGATGTCTCTCGGATGTAGCTGCATAGACACCAGTCGTCCAGCGGTGGGGTTGGGATCTCTTTCGCGCCAAAAGTTGGGAATGCGGAAAGTCGAGGGCCGTTCGCGGTCGAGGTCGTAGGCGGCGATATCACCGCTCTGTAATCCGACAAAGGCCCAATCCAGCATGGGATCTGTCACCAAGCAGACGACGCCCGAGTATACGTATTTGGCTACCTGGTTGCCCGTGTCGAGGTTCCATATCGCCAGTTCGTTCTTGCTGTCGAGGCTGATGAGGCGGTTGGCGACAAAGCGTAGCTCGCGGATGGAGGATGATCGAGGAGGGCAGAAGAACTTGTGGACGCGGCGTTGACCGAAGACGTAGATCTTGCCGGGGCCGAACTTGGACTCGTTGGTGCCGACTGCTAGCAGTGACTGGACGGGGTCGTAGGCCAGACAGCTGATTTGGGAGTTGATGCCGTACCGGGCTTGTTCGTCGGGCATGAAATGGGTGGGTTGGATGTTGGCCGATAAGTCCGTTTGGACGCCCGCCTGCTTTGCGCGGATGAAGGAGGCCATCGCGTGTGGTTGTTTGGTCTGTTGGTGTTGTTGATGGGATCAAGTCGGAGGGAGCATCTCCTCTGTTTCAGCCAAGATGATGTCTGGTGGTAGAAGAGAGAGATAGCAAAGAGACGCACGGCGACAGCAGTGAGCAGCGCGGGACAAGCGGGACTCCGGGAGCTATCCTAAGGTGGGGCTTCCCTGCTCTGAAGTCCTGGTCCACTGGCGGGTCCCTGCAATCACATGCTCATCCGCTAAAACCTCCCCTGTAAATTCGCCAAGCTCGTCCACTCAACGCCTAGAAACTGCCGAGACAGCGCCCAGGGCTTAGCGCTGTGCCGAAGAGCCGGACGGAACCTAAGCTCTGTTTGGACTTCATGTCGTTGTCCAGACACTCTTCTACAAAACATCACAGACTTGGCATGGTGGTTTGGCAACGACACAGGATTTCGGCAGGCAGATGAAGTACTTTCACCAAAAACATATCAATAGTGATGCTCACTAACCAGTTGGGACATTCTGAGACCTCATCTTGTCAAGCGACATTCGCGTTGGGCATCGTTATCATATTTGTGAAAGTGGTCAATTCAATTCTACGCTTGGTTTTTGTTTATTTCCCCCTTTTGTTCTTTCCCCCCATTCTCCCCAGCCAACCTCTTCCTCTTTATCCCACCTGGTCAACCCGTCAGCATGCCTAGGTACTCAAACCGTACATCAAACCCACTCCGCCCCTCCCGGTGCCGGTCCGCTCGGTGGTCCTCTCCGTGGTTGGTTCCGACCTTCCTTCGGCGACGAACATGGTGATATTCCCGCATGGTGTTTCTTTTCTGTCGCCTTGCTTTTTTTCCTCCTGTTCCCCGCATTCTTGTTCTTGCACCTTCCGTTGCTCTCGTTGAGTCCCTACTTCACTCGTTGAATTATCTTTATTGAGGAACTGCATGCCAATTCCTAGAAGAGTGTCTTCTCTTGTCTTACCTTTGTCTTCATCATCCTCTGGTTTCTCTCGTTCACCACTGCCAACAATTTCCTTCCCTTTACCCTTCAACTGTCTCCTCACCTTACCCAGTTGTCCCTCCACTCTCTCCACCTCTTCCATAAACTGGCCTGCGTTGACGAATGCTTCCCGTGCCCTATCACAGAGAGTAATCATGGCATCATGAACCTCCCCAACCGCTGCTTCGACACTGACCGCTAGAGAGACAAGACTGTCAAGGGATATTTGAAGGTTTGAAAGTTGGGCGTTGAGGTTGTTGAATGGGAGACTCAGTTCTTCCCCCCGTTGTTGCTCGGTTTCGTCATTCTCTTCGGAGGAAGTGGGAGGTCCGCTGGTGGTGGTGCCGCCAGTTGTGCTGTTTCTGCTCTTTTGTGCGGATGGTGTTTGTCGCCCTCCTTCTTGTACTAAATGTTGTTCTTCCACGGACACTTGTTCCGCCTCCTGTCCAGCCTCCGGAGTACTAAAACCAGGAACAGGCGACACCTCCCTATCCACCATCTGCCCATCCTCAAAATCCGACGAACTATACGACCACCGACTCACCATCCCCCTCCTGTCGTCCTCCTCATGTTTCTCTTCCTCTTTCTTTGCCTCTGCCTTAACAGAACTCATAACCTCTGGACTAGCAGTCAACTCCCTCGCAAACATCGCCCTACCTGCAACACCAAGCTCTTGACTAGCAGCACCATCACTCCCGCTGCCCGTATCATAACCAGGGGTATTCACATCAGGTACATGCGGTCCCGGCCCTCTCAACGTCCCTGACAAAGGCGAGGGGGTCCTTAACGCCTGCTGCTGGGTGCTTACCGGTCTCAGTCTTGCGGGTTTGCGTGTGATGCGGGCGGTGGCGATGGTGCGAGTGGGTGTCGACGTTGACTAGTTGGACTAGTTGGACTAGGAGGTTCTACTTTCCCTCGTCCTTGTACCCTGGCTCGACCTCGAGCTTCGATCGATGGAGCTGGAGGAGTTGAAGTTCGCGGTTGGATTATTTGCTCAGTAGGTGTGTACCGTCGGTAATGACTTCCTAGACCAAGACCAAGACCGTGTGGTTTCGTCGGGGAGAAGATTTGTGGTGGTTCCTTGTTCCGAAACTCTCCTTCTGGCTTTGGGCGGGTCATGTCGCTCTGGGGCGCTTCTTTGTGGGCATCATCACCGAACATAAACCCATGATAAGTCTCCGTGTAGACCGAACTCTCTGGGTTATCCTGCGAGTATACCGAAACCGTACTTTCTCGCCTCCTTCCATATCCTCTTTTTACTTCCCCAGCGCCTCTTTTTACTTCCTTAGCAGTCATCCCCAAGTTTTCCAGCCGGCCTTCCAACCCTTTTAGCTCCCCGGTTACCTGGCTTCCTTTTCTTTCCATGTTATTTCCCACAACAGATCGTCCCGCCGATTTCTCAGACACAGGAGGTACTAGAGGAACCGCCGATATCCCCAACCCCCCATACCCACTCACCGGTGATAGAACTCCATAACGTGGATGCGGCGTTCCCGGCCGTGGTAAACAAATTGATCGTTCCTCAGCACTACGAAGTTCAAGGTCAAGTGGCCTGGAGTAATTAATACTCGAAAGAGACCCCGACCTGGAAGTTTTCTGAGGCCCTAGGGTATGTCCCTTGGCAGGCCATTGAGGACTTAAAGGTAGAGTCAAAGGAAGCGGTACCAATGTTCTATCGAGTAATCGCCTGGGAGGTGGTTGGGGCGGGGAAGTTGGTGTTCGCCATGGTGCTGGACGGAGGGGAGGTTTAGATAGGGGTTGGGAGTGCGGTTGTGGTTGTGGATGGAGTTGGGGTTGTGGTTGTGGTTGTGGTTGCGGTTGAGGTTGTGATTCTGATTGTGGTTGTGGTTGTGATTGTGATTGTGATTGTGATTGTGGTTGTGGTTGTGGTTGTGGTTGTGGTTGTGATTGTGGTTTGATTGTGGTTGAGGTTGTGTTTGGGCTTGGACGTGGTCGTCAAGGCCCGGAAGAGGAGTAAGTGGAAGGGTTGGTGAAGTCACCGGGTCTAATGCGTGTGCTGCTGGTGCTGATGATGCCGGTGCAGCTCGAGGATGAGAGTAAGCACCCTCGTCCAAGGGACTTCCCAAACTCTCGCGAATTCCTTGTGGCCTAGGCGACGAACGTGTCGGTGGTAGTCGTTTTCCTTGTTGTCGATCCATGCCTTACCTAAGGTATTCTTTGGTAGTCCGTTTATTTTGTTCAACTTTGTTGAACCTTGTTGGTTTGCTGATAATGTCTTACGTTTCCTGGTTTACCCTGTCTGTCTCCTCTAGCATTTCCTGGCTCTCGCAGGTTTTTTTTGTTTTTTTTTCCTTCTTGTTGTCTGGCTTTCCGATTTCTGGACTTCCAGATTTGCGGCGTTCCGGCTTTCAGGCTTTGCAATTCCCTAGGTAGCTCTTGTGATTTCCTGAATCTGCGATTTTCTGGCTTTCTGGTTTTCTGGTTCCTTTGCCTTGCTCCTTTCTGGATTACTAGCTTTCCCGGCTTCCTGGCTTTTTGACTTTCTGGCTTTTTGACTTTCCGGCCTTTGACTTCCTAGCTCTCTGTGGCTTTTTTTGGCTCTTTTGGCTTTCTGGATGTTTGGATCTCTATGATTCCGTGGCTTCGTAGCTTTGCGATCTTCCGGTTTTGCGATGTTCCCGATTTGTGATTTTCCGGGTTTTCTGGTTTTCCGGCTCTCTGATTTCTAGGGTTTCGTGGCTTCGTGATTTCGCGGCTTTCCTGGATTTCTGGGTTTCCTGGTCAGCAAACCCAAATCTTCAAACCACTTCCACCGTCCCACCCCTAAGCTGGTTAACCCCGCTACCCAAAACCCCCCGGAGAAAAGACTGTTTCTCTTCGAAGGCTGCGATATCTCACCTCTGAGTTCTAACCAGCGCACTGAGTTCCCAGTCTGGTTTCCCAAAGTCAAATTTGGAATACACCTTCGTCCTCACTTTTGGCTTCCAAATATTCCTTTCTTTCAAGTTCACCTTCAAGTTTCAAGTTCCTGATCGCAAGTCTGCCTTTCAAGTCTGCCTTTCAACTTCGTATTTCAGCTCTCGTTCCCAATTTTGATTTTGGTTCCCCGAGTGGCCTTCTTGAAGTTTGGGGTTTTATATCCAACATCACAAAACCAAAAATAGGTTAGTGACACACCAACAACCAACACAATGAGCAACATCCCCACCAAGCTATACATGTCACTCACCACCAACTTCATCCAAACCATCCTCAAGCCCACCAAACGTCAATCAACCATCGCGTCATACAAGTCAACACATTGCACCTAACGAGCTGCCACCGAACGATTTCATGTGCCATCAATCATCAAACTCACCATCTGTCAGACACTCCAAATAATGGGCAGTTGCTGATTCACCTATTCAGATCATCAACCTTACTGAACAAAACATAATCATTCACTGTATCCCATTCATGCAAAAAGCTTCAAATGAAGGCACCTTCTTTATGCTATGGACTTATGTAGAACTGGTAATGTTGGAAATAACCCGAGACCCGGGTCGGAAAAATGTTTGTGCAATTGCCATCCATCAATCCTTCCCTGATATCGGTCTCAAGATCCTCCCAACCATTGACTCCCTCTACGGCCATCTGCATCTCGCTATAATGATCAGTTGATCATGGTATACTACCCCCATCGCCGCTGCCGTTCAAATGTCTGACCTAGGTGCGTCAAAAAGACCCATCCAAATCTCAAGTGGAAATCCTTTGTATACCGCTTGCCGATAAAACACCTCCCCACCGTCGTCAACATGTTGCACCTAGGCAACAATGTCCAGGCATTACTGATCCAATTCTAGTCACCAAAGAGCCCGTCAAAGCGGCCCAAGATTAGACCCACCACATTGTATCGAGGATGCCACTGTTCGGCATGGTGTCCAGCTTGGGAGGCGGGTTGTTCTTCTTGAACTCGCTGCTGTAAGTAGAGGCATCAGGCTGTTGCTTGCCAACCAAGCCATGCGGGTTGTTCACCAGATCCCTAACCTTCTCGGGGACCTTGGGGTTGTCACCGTAGTCCACATCCTCATGGGCGCGGCCACGAGCACCTGCCAGATGGGCATAGTAGACAGCTGGGTGCAGCGAGATGGGTGTGGTGGAACGGCAGAACGTGTAGCACTGGTGGTAAATCATGCTCTGCAACTTGTTCACCGGCAACTTAATCTCGTCCAAGAGCACGTGGTAGTGGACAGGACGCGCCGTGCCCTGGAGCGCAAAGTGCGAGTTCAGGAAGAAGTCATAGTGGAAGGGATGGGTGACCTCCTTCTCCACCAGCGTGCCAGGCTCGCAGTTGCCGTTCTTGTCTCCCTTGTCCGGGAAGAATCGAATGTGGTGACGCTTGGTGGCCACAATCACCGTAACCTTGGCATCCTTTCCTGGAGCGTTCTTGTGTCTGGCCTTGAAGACCTTCTTGATGGTCGCCACCTCCTGCTTCAAGACGTGTGCAAACTGGCCCTCCGAGACGCCGTCGCGGAAGTAGTAGATGTGCTCGACCTCACATCCCGCCTTATCCTTGTAGGCCTTGAGAAAAGTGGGAAGCATGGCTTCGATGTTCTCGTTGGTCAAGACCTCGCTGCGCCAGCCGTTGGTCTGGACGGCGGCGCGATACTGATAACCGTCCCTGTCGACTGTCGCGCACATGGCAGCAATGGAGGGCATCTCTGAGCCCGGCGATGCGTGGGACACATCGACGCCAATCATCATGGTGGGTCTGGTGAAGAACCCGTGCGGCTTGGTCTTGTTGGCAGTGAGGCTGGAGGTCTGTCCGCCCAGCTTGGCGTTGACCTTCATGCAGACATTCGAAAGGTACTGCCCATTTGCTTTCTGGACGTGCTGCGCTTGAACGACTTGAGTGACAACACCGTAGCGGCAGTCAAAGATCTTCTTGATCCGCTCGTAGACATGAGCCGTCTTGTCCGGGACGACGATGAAGATGATTTGGGGGTTGTTCTTGTTGTTCCCCTTGGTGATACTCGCCATGTTGGAGTTCACAACGTCGTTTAGCGTACCTGCGTTGCACACAAGATTGAGGACGCCGGGAGTTGGGTTCGCGACTCTGCCACCATGTGCCTTGTAAACAGGGACGAAGGCATTGCAGAAGGTCTTGAGGGTTTGCTGATCAACACAGCCGTTGAGCACAAAGACGCCCCAGGAAGCCAAGGGGGCCCTGTTGCCTTCAACAAACCTGCAGCCGCGAAGGTCCCAGCGACCGGTGTTGCGGGGTCTGTGAGTCTTGTTCTCAAAGAAAACCTCGGGGTGCCTGAGCACCTTGGCCTCAGTCTTGGCCATGTTGGTGGAGATGGAGACGCCAAAGGCCTTGAGGTACTTGTCGTTGTTCCAGTCCAGACGGGCAACCGATGCCGAAATGTCGTTCCTGCGCTGTGTCGGGCGCTGAACGGCAAACTTGATCATGGTTGAAGTCTGTTCGGGGCTCAGCTTGTAGTTGTACTGGTTGAACGACACAATGTTGCAGAACTCGGCAGGGAAGGATCCAGCACGGGTGGTCTCGATGACGGGCCAGCCAGCTGTGCGCATAATGGCTCTGCCGTATTTCTTTACCATGTAGTCTTTGATGGAGATGTTCTCCGTGGTGCCATTGTTGTTCCAGTCGAACTTGACATGGTACGAGTTGCAGCCATCCCGGCCCCCAACTTTGCCGGTCTTATCAAAGGCGAAGCCCTTGATCTTGTACTCCTTCTTCTCCTCCGGACGATGGAGGAGCGTGAAGCGACAGCCCTTCAGGCGGCGAATGGCCTTGAAGGCCTCAGAAGGTTCGTAGGTGTTTCCGCGTACCACCGGTTTTAACGCGGCGGTGACCTGCTGGTCGTTGGCGTTGGGCATCCTGCAAGAAACTCCAAGTATCACCTTGATCAACTTGTCGGCTGGAAGGGACTTCCAGAAGGCCTGGTTGGACACATCGACATTGACGCCCAGGCCAATGGGCTTGATGTTCTGGCTGAGTCGGAACGAAGCGTAAACACCCTTGTACGCCATGAGGGCGTTATCAAGGATAGCGTTGGGCATCGAAGGGTCGAAGAAGCTGCGCTTGATAGTTGTCATGCGCTCCGAGGGGCCCTGACGGAGCAGATGGTCGAGGAAAGTCATGCACTCGAGGACATGGTTGTCCCACGGTGCCTTCTTCTCGAGGTAAGCCTTGAGAGACATGAGGCGGACCTTGCCGGTAGGCCTGATGGTGAGGTAGAAGACATTCTTCTTCTCGGCTCCAGGCTTGGGCTTGCGGCCGTTCTCCTCATCCAGGTCAACCATGATGCGCATCTCGTCAACGGACTGGGCCAGCCAGGCTAGCTTGCGCCCGTCATAGATCCAGGGCTTGGTGGTCACCGAGGCGAGCTTGCGCTGGACCGTCTTGGACTTCCAGACCTTGTCGTAGACAACGGCGCTGGTAGGCTCAGGGCTGAGCGCAATGTCGTACTGGGAAATGTCCATGTTGGCAAGTTTGGTGACGGGATACTGGTTGACCGCGACAATGGTGCTGGTGCCCTCGGTGTTGAAGCCGTTGCGAGAGGCAAACGTGCTGCTCATGTCAGACTTGACGTAGGCATCAGCAGGCAAGTCGACGCGCTTGCCGACACGCTCCTCATGGCTCAAGGGGGCACGACTGTCCATTCTGGCAGGATCGTGTCCGAGAGGGGCCGGGTAGCCGGGGTGGGCCTTGTTGGCAGCGGCACCCGAGGGGAACAGCGTGGGTGGCGACTGAGCTGGCCGGCAGGGCGCGAGGGCAAGGTTATCTTCTGACCGGACATCTTGGGAGATCCAGGAGCAGACATGTTACAGGTACTGGTTGAGACAAGAGTCAGCGGTTTGTTCTGTGGGTAAGTCGCAGTGCGACGATGAGGAAGTGAAATGGGGGGGGGGGGGGGGGGGGGGTATCTCTTGGGTGGATGGTGATGGGAGAGGAGGGGGTAAAACTCACGAGACTGTAGACTGGTGTCTAGGTCAGTTCGCTGTCGAAAACGAAAGTCCTGGTCGGTTGCTGCGGTTGCCGTCGAAGGGAAGAGAAGAGGACCAAGTAAGCGAGTGATCCTTGGTTGAGTGTGATGAGGAGGAAGTTTTGGGAGAAGAGTAGAGGGCGGGGGGAGAGGGGTTCTTATAGATTTCTGGAGGATCGTCCACGGCCAGAAAAGAGTACGTACCTATGGCAAGCGCCGTGAATAGAAGCAATCAAGCAGACCAGATGATGAGTAAGTCTGGATGAGTATTGCTTCTGACTGTCAAAAAAGATGCGATCAGAAAGATTTGAGAGTTGCGATGAACGAGAAAAACAGTGAGCAAATCGAGTGTTTGCCCAGCGTTGAGGTTGTTGAGATGACACAGGAAGAAAAGTGTGGCGGGGGAGAGAGATACTGGGAGGAAAATGGAGAAGGATATGAGATGGCCAGGGCAGCAGGCAGCAAAGTGCACCCTTTCGTTTGAGGAAGGCACGATTAGACGGCACCGAGGGTAGTGTGGTCCGACACTTGGTGGCAGTTCTTGCCAGGCGGGCAGTTGCGGTCCTCTTTCCTGTGGCGACCGTTTACATGGAAATTTTGTCACCACGAAACATTGGACTCGCAACCAAAATAATGGCTCCAAGGCGCACTCATATACAAGATCGAATTACCTTCACAGGGTCATGGAATTGTTTACTACGTTGTGGTTTGGAGTTTACGTCAAACACTGAGTGGGTGGTGATCCCATGCATAGCCACAAAGTTGTGACAGCAACAAGATGGAGATTTACTCATGTCTGGAACCTTCAAAACTAGAGGAGAGCTATTATACTTGCTTGCGAACATTAATCCGTCTCCGAGTTCTTGTGATGGTAGCCGGTAATGCTGTGGTGGCGGAGTGTCCGGACAGTAGGATCATCAAACATTTCCTGTGACTTGGCCGGTTATCACCGTGGTCTTGACTCCAGGTCCTCTTTTTTGCTATACGAGCGACTCGAACTATTTCGAATGATGACAATCATGACTGCCACTGTTAAGTTTCCAGTTTGCGTAAGGTAGATACATACACTTGGTAATAACGGTTGTTGTCACGAAATCATGTGGTGGGCAACTGCCAAGATGGTTTGGGTTTTTCAGTGGGAGGGAGCGTCATTAAAGTGCAGGCAATCCGGTTGGGAAGGCGCGGCTCACGATGGCGGGCCATCGAGATAGGGCAGCTTATCTTTTCCTCGAATATTGGCCGGGCAACGGGAAATTGGTAACCTAAGGTTATGTGGATTGGGAAGGTGCTTCCATGGGAGCTTGCCGCGGGGTTGGGCAGGGCTCAACGCCGTTGCCTTTCCGCAAGCAGGAACGTCATGATAATTTGATGACACTTCCAGTTTTAGGAATATCTGCACTCCCTACTTCCTATCCTTGACCAAGGCTTTATTTGTAAAGATATACACGGAGGGACTCGTGGCGGAGGGGTGTCGACCGAGACAATCTGCGAAACTGACTCCCGTTTTGAACATGGCAATCACTCAAGCAAAGCATCATCACAACATGTCTAACAACCATTTCCTTGGTTTTTTTTTGGTTTTTTTTTGCAGTCGGGTAGTTGTAGTAATTTCTTATCATGTTTCCGTGTGTCGATACCCAATGTAAAGATGCGAGCGCGCCTTCACGACAACATCAGGAAGCATCCAACTGTAAACATGGACATAAATACTTGCATTCACAGTCAGTGATCTCTTCCCCATTGCTTTGTCCACTGCAGTCGAGCAAGCCTCCACATCTCCGTCCTCACTCGTTCCCCAGTGTTCGAAATGATAGATGCTCCAATATCGCCCAAACCGGACCCACTCCCCCAGTGAACGTCACTTCGACTTTCGGATGATTGCCCCTCTTTTGGTGATCCGCAGGTTTCGGATGCAGTGATTGTTCGAAGCGGAACCTTCCATCCGTTGGTTGTCTGGCTTGATGTCTGAGATTGGATTGCTGATGCCGATTGCTGGGTTGAAAATGCCAGTGGAGGGAGAATAAAAAGTTTTCATTTCGTCTCGAGGTGGGGGGTACTCAATTGATGCGGGATAACGTCGTGATAGACATGTAGCACGGTGGTTCCCTTGGGGCCAGCGCGCCTGGTGATGGAGGAAAGATCAAGCTTGGGGAGATGATGTCGGGTGCTTGACTGAATGTATCTACTTGTCCGGAGCAGTCCTAGACAGAGAATGCTCGGGCCAGATGAGAAATACAATATGTATGAAATACCCAATGTCGTTCAAATTTTGCCTCCATTCGCGCGTCTTGGTGACATCTCGGTGGTCAAATGTCGATATTGTCGTCCTTCTTGCCCTCTTCGTTCAATCCACAGGTTCCGCTCACTCCGACTCGGAAACCTTCAAATTTCCAAGTCCGGTTTCACTGTAGAGCTCTTTCCCTCTACCGTCTCCTGTCTGCAGTCTGCCGCCGCGTTTGCCGTGCTGCCTCTTCGCTCCTGTCACTTCAGAGGATACCTGCCTCTAGCCACAGAGTTCTTGCCATCTTGCTCCTGTCTTCCAGCTCTGTCCTCCATTATGTGCCTTCCATTTTGTGCCGTTCGTCCCACGTAGATGACGATCAATCTGTATCAGGCAGCAAGCTCAACAGCCCAGGTTCTCCGTCTCACAGGTTGAACGACCCTCGCCACTGTCGTCCTGACTCCCCCATCCCTTCCCCCCCTGACTTCCATCTCCAGCTTGAGACTGTGAGTTAGACCGCTGTCATCCGCTCTCCTCATCAAGCATTGTTTGCTCCCACGTCCTTTGACCGCCTCACTTTCCATCTGTCGTCTCTACTACGACCTTCCCTTGCCCACCGGTATCTTGGTACATACTTCCATCCAGATCATCCCATTCCGAGAGCAAGAATTGAAATCCAAACAGTGTGTTTGTGAGGTTCCTCTGGCAATTTAGGCAAAAGGTTTTTACTGGAGAAAGGCTGCAGGTGAAAGACAGACAAGAGGTCAGGACGGGAGTTGGAGGCAGTTGGAGGCAGGAGGCGAGCAGGAGAGCGCAGAAGGCACCGCTGCAGTTGATTTTGAGGTGAGGCTGAGGGACTGTCCCACACTGCAAATGGCATTGTGAGCGAAAGGTAAGTACGGTGAGAATTGTTCAGTACGCCACTACTGGTACGAGACGCGTTATTCACTCACGACAAGGAAGTACCAGGATATGGAGTTTTTTGTGACATGGACTGATTCGGAGCACAGGCACAAGACGGGACAAAGATGATGACGGATTGATAGCATAGATATTGCAGACAGAAAGGAAACAAGAACAATTTTTTTTCCCAGCCCGGTCACGGTTACGGTTGCAAGTCTCATTGAGATCAACTTTTTTTGAGTTTTATTGAACTACCATGATAATCTACACAAAACTCCTACACCACAAGTACGACCTCGCCACCCTTTGCACCCTGTGAAAGATGCCATCAAGCGCTTTGTTGGATTGGTCTATCCTAAAGACCTAGACCTAGACTTGAAGTCACGAACCACCTATCCATCCCACATCTACGCTTGGTCCAGTAATCTCCTCGCAAGCAAGATCCAGCAACGACAGCAAACTTTTCGATAATCAACCTCTACCTAATACCAAGCCATGCTAACGACCTAAAGCTTCCTCGAAGAAGTGCTGCGTGAAGGACTTCAAAAAACACCCAAAGAGAAGTTTCATTCGGAAAACTCCCTTTCGTTCCCTTTCCAATTCCAATTCCCTAAGCAAAGCTCGACGTTCAGATACGGTAGAGGTAATTACCATGGAACCCGCAAAACTTTTCCCTTCATACACTGCTCCCCCTCCTCCACTATGTTCCTGCTTTTCCTTGGGTTCCTGCTGTTCCTTCAGTTGCAGCAAGACCAAAGCCTCGTGCTGTTTCTCTTTCTCTTTCGCTTCCCTGGCTTCCTGCTGTCCACTTTTCCTCGCCGAGTACTTTATCCCCATATCCACCATGTCCTTTCTGACCCTCATCATCTTCATCATCACGGACATCCCCGTTCCCATCTCCCTTGCTCTAATAAGGAGGAGGAGGGTTTCCGTACCTATTGTAACCCTGCTGTTGCTGATGTCCCTGCTGCTGTTGCTGCTGAGCCCATCCACCATCATATTGACCCTGTGGGGGAGCAGCTCCATACTGCGCAACAGCCGGAGGGGGCTCATAAGACCCGCTCGATCCCGGTCTGCCACCCACGGCAGCAGAAGCCTGCTGACGATACGCAGCAGCCGTCTGGCCAGCCATTCTATTGCCAGGACCACCGGTGAATGGACTCAACGGTCTAGGTGACTCGCGGTAGGCGTAATCCTGAGATACGTTCCTGGCATGTCCACCCTGGTAACCACCGCCACCACCTCCCTGGTAACCACCATATCCATCACCTCCCTGATGCTGCTGCTGTTGCACCCTCTCCCTGTCCCTTTTCCAATCCGCATACTCCGGCACCTGAACATTCTGCAAAAGCGAGACCATCCTGCCGGGGTTGAACCTATGGTAATCATAGAGATCCGCGCGGGGGATCTGGCCCATCAGGAAGGTGATGTCCCTGGCAATGGGGACGACTTGGGAACCGGCACCGGAGCCACTATAAGAGCCGGCCGCTCCGCCCATGCGGCGCTGTTGATCCAGCCTGCGGCCGGCTGCGCCCTTGAGGGGAGACGCGCCGCGCACAAAGGGGTCGTTCTCTTGCCGGGCGATTTTGCGAGGAGGATCTTCGTAGTCGCGGTCGTCGTGGGGCCGCTTGT